ACTGGCCCAAGAAGTGCATGGCGGAGTTTCTCCCATCGCTCCAGCCCCCTGCTCCTATTTGTTCTCCCTCTGCCTCTCACACTCATTTCAGATTGCAGACCCATGGAGAGGGGCTAGCAGAGGACCTTGAGAGCGCACTGTGTCCGTGGATTGGCCCAAGAAGCGCATGGCGGATCGTTCCTTTATTTTCCCCCTGTTATCGTCTCTCATGTACCTCGTTCCCCTGCTTTCCTCAGATCGCAGAGCCCATGGAGAAAGGCCTGGCAGAGGATCTTGAGAGCGGGGCAGTGTCACTGGACTGGCCCAAGAAGCGCATGGCGGAGTTCTTTCAGACCAAGTACGACTGGGACCTGCTGGCCGCCCGCTCCATCTGGGCCTTTGGCCCCGACCGACAGGTGGGTGAAGGGTGTGAGCAGGTGGACAAACCTGCTTCCAACCCATCTATACATTCAAAAACCGCTTTTGATTCAATGATCCGCAATTATGACTCCTGCACACCTTCTTACCTCCTCTTCCCTCCTGTTTCTCTTCCCTGTTCTCTCGCTATCTCTGTGTGCCCCTCCCTTGCCCCCACGCACAGGGTCCCAACATCCTGGTGCATGACACGCTTCCCAGTGAGGTGGACAAGAACCTGCTGGCAACCGTCAAGGAGTTGGTTCTAACTCTTCCCTCCGTTTCTATCCTCCCTTCCTCTTGCTACCGCGGTCTGTCCCTCCGAACCCCCCGTATTCCTCACCCCCTTCCCCTTCAGGGGCCCAACATTCTGGTGAACGATACTCTTCCCAGTGAAGTGGATAAGAACCTATTGGCTGCCGTCAAGGAGTCCGTCATCCAAGGGTAAGCCACAACCCTTCCTCTTTTCCTCCTTGCATTCTGAAAAGGACTGAAAAAACATGTGTTGATTATTGAGGCGCCTTAATCATGCCGCCTGTGAAAAGTGCTGGCTTCGTTTTCCCCTCCTGTCCGTCTCTCCCCGTCCATCCCTTCCTGTCCCTCTCACCATGTCCATCCTTTTCCGTCTTCCCTGCAGCTTCCAGTGGGGAGCGAGGGAGGGCCCTCTGTGTGATGAGCCCATGAGGAATGTGCGATTCAGGCTGTTAGACGCTCTCGTGGCATCGGACCCGCTGCAGCGGGGGGGGGCGGTCAGGTCATCCCCACGTCTCGCCGTGTTGCATATTCTGCGTTTCTCATGGCCTCACCTCGCCTCATGGAACCCGTTTACTTTGTGGAGGTGAGTGCTCTTGTTCTTTCAGTGTGGAGATTTTAGCTTGAAGGTTGATAAGGCAGAAAGGGGGGCTGGCTGGCAGGTCATCCCCATGTCTTGTCGTGTGGCCTAATGCGCTTTTTTGGAATTCTAAAAGAACGCATTCAGCCTACTCTGCTTTCCTCATGGCTTCGCCTCTCCTCATGGAACCTGTTCACTTCGTGGAGGTAAGTGCTCTTGCTCTAAGGGGCTAACCATGCTGTGGGGGTCGGGCAGATCATCCCTCGTCCTTCCTTGCGGCATATTCTGCTTTGCGCATGGCGTGGCGTCTCCTGGCCGGCCTCATGGAACCCTTTTACTGCATTGACGTGAGTTGGGGGTTCTTCGGGGGTAACATTCAGCGAGGAGGTGGGCAGGTCATCCTTACGTCCTGCCGTCTGGTGGGATGGTCTCCCGCCCCACCCACCCCCCACGCCCGGCATGCGCTTATGCCGTTGATGTACAACCCTCTCACGATCCCTCTCCTTAAAAAACTCTGTTTTGCTTTTGAGAATTCTCAAATGTGACTACAACCACCTCGAAGTCTCAGTCTCCCATCCTTGCAGATCCAGAACATGCTGACAGCATGTGGGCCATCTACATGGTGCAATCTGCTTGCCTCTCCCCTCACCTACTTATTCATAGGTCTCTTAATCCCTCAGAAAGTATAGATTCGACCCAGATCCAGCAGACTAAGCTCGTCCTAATATTCGCTATTCCGTAGGTGCCTAGGCTAGGTAGGGATCAAGTAAACGAGGGCGCTCTCGCTACTCCCATCTACCTTGCCTAACACTCAACCAAGATCTGAAATCCAGATCCGGTGCTGTCGCACACTTGGATATTCCCACCTAGTCATCGTCACCCCTCCCCACCTTTCTCCATTGCCTTCTCTGCCCTTCAGATTCAGGCCCCTGCAGACTGCATGTCAGCCAACGACACAGTGCTGTGCTGTCAAGCGCTTCCGTTTCATCTCCCCCATTGCCACCTACTTATCGCTTTTCGTCATCTCCCCCATTTTCACTCTACAAACTCCCCTATTTACCCCTCCTTCAGATCCAGACCCCTGCGGACTGCATGTCTGCCATCTACACGGTGCTGTCGCGCCGTCGAGGTCACGTGACGGGCGATGCTGCCAAGGCCGGCACTCCCGCCTACATTGTCAAGGTGCTCGAATTGTGTGTGCATGCGATGTTGTGGGCCGTTTGAACTAGCCTCCCTTGGTATTTGTGCCGTCGAAGTCACGTGACGGGTGATACAGCCAAGGCTGGCACCCCTGCCAACATCGTCAAGGTGCGGTGATGATGCGCGCATGTGATGTCATGCTCTGTTGTAACTAGTATCTTTTGAGAATTCTCAAAAGTCACTCCAATATATGATGCGCGCATGTGATGTCATGCACTGTTGTAACTAGTATCTTTTGAGAATTCTCAAAAGTCACTCCAATATATGATGCGCGCATGTGATGTCATGCACTGTTGTAACTAGTATCTTTTGAGAATTCTCAAAAGTCACTCCAATATATGATGCGCGCATGTGATGTCATGCACTGTTGTAACTAGTATTTCGTGGTATTTATGTTGTCTAGGCCATGTGACCGTCGATGCTGCCAAGTCCGGCACACCCGCCTACATTGTCAAGGTCCTGTACTGTTCTCTGGTTCGTGTTTCTAAGGTGTGCAGATGGTGCACGCACGTGATGGCATGTCCGCAAAGTGAAATGCTGTGCTGTGCTTCCACCCTCTCTCCTCCCCCAGGCCATCCTGCCAGTGAGAGTCCTTCGGATTCATGACCGATCTGCGCTATCACGCGCAGGGGCAGGCCTTCTGTGTGTCTGTGTTTGACCACTGGGCTGTGGTGCCAGCCATTCTCTAGTCAACAGCATACAGTCTGAAACGAGTCAACCAAATTCAATCTCCCTCCACCCGGCCTCCCTGTTTCCTCTGCTGCGCTCCCCCCTCCCCCAGGCCATTCTCCCAGTGATCGAGTCCTTTGGCTTTGAGACGGATCTGCGCTATCACACGCAGGGGCAGGCCTTCTGTGTGTCGGTGTTTGACCACTGGGCCGTGGTGCCGGGGGACCCTCTCAACAAGAGCACACTGTTTCAATTGAGCCGACTTATATTCAATTTTCCCCTTCACCTGCCCTCCCTTCTTCCTGTGCTTTGTCTCCCCCAGGCCATTCTCCCAGTGATAGAGTCCTTTGGCTTTGAGACAGACCTACGCTATCACACGCAGGGGCAGGCCTTCTGTGTGTCGGTGTTTGACCACTGGGCTGTGGTGCCGGGGGACCCTCTTGACAAGAGCGTCGTGCTGCACCCGCTAGAGCCGGCTCCTGCTCAGCACCTCGCGAGAGAGTTCATGGTCAAAACTAGGCGGAGAAAGGTGAGGAGAGAGTGAGGGAAGTTGGTGCAAGAGGTGTGTATGAGAGGTCTGTGTTAGAAATCAACTACTGGACAAGGGCATGCCTGTTGGCCGAAGGGGCTCTTGGTGCAGAGTGACCCCGCCAATCCGGCCATCGTGTTCTAAATCCTTTTCTGGTAACCTGTTTACTGGTTGCTTCTCTATGTCTGTTGTTTCAGGGCATGAGCGAGGATGTGAGCATCAACAAGTTCTTTGACGATCCTATGCTTCTGGAGCTGGCTCGGCAAGACGCCGAGTTGCAACAAATCCTTTGAGCTGGCTTGGCAAGACGCTGACCTGGCTGGGCTGTTTTTCTAGTTCCCTATCGATGGGTATGCATGAGGATGTGCGCATCCTGTAACCACCAACCCTCCCTCCACCACTTCTCGACAGGGTCCCTCCTCCCGCGCTCCCTGTCTGTGTTCATGTTGCGCACTTGCATACTGCCTTGGCGAGGTTTAGAATTGTAACTACCGGTATACCTCAACATGAGAACGTCAGCAGCAGTATCAACCAGCAATGGCCGGCCATCAAGAGTGGCCATGGAAACATGTTTCAGTGCACATCCCACGTGAACAGCAACAAATTTACAAGCCTATGACTGAAGCACACCTTACAGGCCATAGTTCAACTCCACTCCACATACGAGTGGCCGTGCCAATGTGATTCACTACCATGCCACCTACTGGTTTAGAAGCGACCCATGCGTGCGTGTGACATGCCCACCCAACCCACAGCCACACTCCTCTCTACTCCACACGAGTGGCCATGGCAATGTAATTCACTGCCATTGTCATCTCTTGAGAGATTCCACCTGTTGCTGATTGGGTCGTACACCATGCCACGTGTCTCCGCCAGCTGGCGGGTCGGGAGAGCAAGGCAGGGGAGGGGAGAAGGGAACACCCACGCAGGATTAAGTCAGAGCTTTTAAGAGATGGTTAGCGCTGCAAACACCCTGCAATTTTTATGAGTTCCCAAAACACTCTGCAGGAAGGGATGGGCCTGTTTGGAGTGGAGATAGAGTAAACAGGGTCCTCCCCAAACCTGGCTCGCCACAGCAACAGCGTTAGACATGGTTACATGCACGGGAAAGGTACGCTGATCCTGGGCTTTCCTTTGCAAGCGCCATTTGGCGTCATGGGCTGCACCCCTTTAGAAGCAGATGCATCTCACCTGGAAGTTGGCTCGTCACAGCATAAGGGTGAGCTCCAACGGGGTGATTGTCACTGCTAAGCCTTGAAACTATGAAATGAACATGATGAGAATTACCTACTCCCACATGCACTCCTTAAAGTAGTTGCAGCTCACCTGGAAGTTGGTTCGTCGCAGCATGAGGGCAAGCTCCAAAGGGGTGATGAACTTGTTCAATCATGAGTCCCCCCGGGGTACCTGCCACAAGTGAGGGTGATTGCAATCAGGGTGATACTTTGTGAAGCCTTAGTCGTTTCCAAGCTCTATTGAGGTGCCTCAAAAATATTTTGGTAAGTGCTAGGCAGCTCCAAGTTTTGTCAAACGGGCAAAACCGGTGGCCATGCAACAATTCATGCCAAAAAAAAAAAAAAAAAAAAAACACCAAGAACAACAACGATGACGACGACGACAACAACAACAATGAAAAATAGAAGCTTGGCGACGTGACGAAGTCAGTCCAATTGTTAGGTAAGGACGCTAGTACAGAGGCACACTCTATTGGACGGGGAAAAGAGAGGCATGCAGTAGACAGAATTTATATAGAGCAAGAAAGAATCTATACACACAAAAAAGGAATGTACGTACACGAAAGAAAATGTACATACTATAGAGAGGATGTACTCGGCAGCTGCGATGGCGAGAGCAAAGGAGCGAGCGGTGCGATTGATGGTGGAGGAGGAAGAGCAACGCCTCCGGGGTTGGGAGTTGAAGGTGGGGATGTTGGTGCAGGTGGAGGTGTTGGTGTGGGTGGGGGTGTTGATGTGGGTGGGGGTGTTGATGTGGGTGGGGGTGTTGATGTGTCTGGAGAGGAAGTGGATGGCGGCATGGGCATGGATGGGGATGGGGCCGTTTGTGCTGTGGAAGTTTGGGAAGGAGATGAATAAGATGGGGTGAGGGGGGAGGAAGGAGCGGAGGGTGGTGGAGTGGGTCGGCAGAGAGATGTGAGGGTGCGGACGAAAAGCAGCAGGATCCGCCACATGCTCAATCACCTGGGCAGAGAGGAGCGAGGGGAAGCACAAAAGAGGCGAAATGAAGGTGAACATTTCCTGCACAGAAGCTGAGAGCAGAAAGCAGGGTGAGCAGAGAGCAGCGAACAGCAGAGAGCAGCAGGAATGAGGGGAAAGGCGAGCAAGGAGTAACCAGCTGCAAGATCAAGAAGTTAATCTTCGCCTTACTTCAGCTCATCTCACCTACCTCACCTCACGTCACCCCACCTCACGTCACCCCACCCCGCCTCACCTTGCCTCACCTCACCTGACTGTACCGCACCTCACCTCACCTCCAATGAGAGCACGGCATCAAACATAGTCCCCTGTGCAGCAAGTTCTTCTGCACTTGATAGAGAGACGCGGAGGGAGAAGAGAGAGGCGCGGAGAGGGGCAGGGAGAAGATACAAGAGAGTGGAAACGGAGAGTGTTGAGAAGAGGAGAGGGGCCAAATTGTGAGCAGATCCCAAGCAAGGGGAGAATTGGCAGTCATTCAAATGAAAGTGGATACCTGCAGAGATGCACTTGTAAGATATGGATCGGGTGATAGGATCCCTTGCCTGCACACACGTACGTACACACGCGCGAAGCATGCATTGAAAGACACTCCAAACCCAGTGACATGCTATTGTATAGTCACAATTGCAGACGTACGTGGCGGCTGGGTGGTTCTACAAATTCTGGAAAAACAACTGGACGAAAACAAACACAGCAGAAGAACGCCTTACGGAAAGTGACGCTGCTGATAAAGAGCATCAAACGGTGGATCAAGAGAGCCTAAGACAAAACACCTCCTTTCAGAGGCTTGCTCTGCGGCACTAGGGACATGCATCAAAAGAGACGTACAGCGTGAGTAGCAGCCACTCGTGTGTTGATACGTGTCACATCACACCTGTCACTGTAGCTCCCAAGCGAGCCAGCGGCTGCAGAAAACGACACAAGGGGGGAAGACCCCGGACCGGAGGGAGTTGGTTGGGATGTGTTTTGGAAGGTGAGCAGAATGGTGAAAGCGAAAGAAACAAAAGAAACGAAAGAAACTACAGCTAAGTAAAAAGCACCAGAAACAAAAGAAATGAAATGAAGAGTAAGGTCAATGACAACGTTCACTGAGACGCTTGCCTGGTAGCACACCAATCGTACTCACCTCACACAGAAGCCCCCCCCCACACCCCACGTCAAGAACTTTCAGCCCTTCCAGTGGCCTGGCAGAGTCTGCATTCAGACTGATGGATAGATAGAGAGGGAAGGCGGGAATGATTGAGGTCAGGATTGGGATGAAACGCAATCAAATGGCAATTGGAAGCATGTCATCGTATGGGATCATATGGAATGGCATGGCACGGCATGGCATGGCATGGCACGGCATGGCATGGCATGGCATGCATGGCACGGCATGGCACGGCATGGCATGGCATGGCATGGCACGGCAATGGCACGGCATGGCATGGCATGGCACGGCATGGCACGGCATGGGATGGCATGGCATGGCCTGGTGGGAAAGGGGAGGCGAGAAAAAGGCAATGGGCTAGATGCTGCAATGAAAGTGGCTGAAGCCAGGTCTTCGGACATGAAAGCATGGTCACACTCGTGAACCTCCACTCTCTCTCATTGACTCCTTCCACTCATAAGCCGTCCCCCACAAACTCCTCTCACTCATAAGCTCTCTCTCTCTCTCTCACCTGCCTCTCGCCTTACCCCCTCTTTCGCTCACCCAAAGTGCCGACACATGGCATCACGCACGAACGCCACGCGGGCAGCTGACATGGCATGCAGTGGCCGCATGTGGGCCCCTGCGGTCCCACCTGGATGGGGAGGGATGGGGGAGGGATGGGGAGGGATGGGGAGGGATGGGGATGGATGGGAAGGGATGGGGAGGGATGGGGAAGGTTGGGGAAGGATTGGGGGGGATGGGGAGAGCGGCAAGCCATTGTGAAAGCTGTGTGGTTCCCTCATGAAAGAAAGTGGAGTTGCGAGAATTTAGCAGCTTTTTAGGCCATGTGGACCAATTTCGAAACTTCTTTTCGCCAGAGCTCACCATTGGCTGGCGAGAGCTTCGAACTTAGCCACCTCTTCGCCATCAACGCTTGCGGACGTCACTCTCCCACCTGACGCCTCAAACGCGCGTCCTGCGGTTGAATTACCCGCAACAGCGGGGGAATCATCGGCGGGAGAGGCGGAAGCGGAGGCAGGGGATGCGCAAGCAGTGGCCGTCGAGAATCCCCCCCATGCGATCGCCCGGCGCGGCAAGGCGGAAGCATGCAGTACGCAATACCGCGGAATTGCGGGATGCGCGCGCTAGAACTGACATCGCGATCGCTTTGAGAGCGTCCTTGAACGGATTGATCGAATCCTATCAAAAGCCTGAAGACAGAGCACGCTTCGAGCAGCATCGGACACGTGTCAGTTGTCAGTTATGGTGCGTGCATAGCAGTGCACCCCTCACGGAAAGTCAGCACGCCCGTGCGTTCCTAGGGGCCTAAATGCCAACAGAACCAGCTTGTTGAACCGAAAATGCCAGACTATCATGCCCGAATGAACACCTATCCGTTCGTCCAACTTTGATCGGCAACAAGTTGAGCAGGGTCCTGGGAGACCTACGCAGATTTTTTGTTTGCCCACTTTGTTACGAGTGCAATTGAGTGAACGATCGAAGATTGCACTATCTAAGCAAGAGTACAATGAGCGAAGGCATGAGCGAATAATATATAGCAAAAATACAGTGGTAACGGTAATGCGTGAAAATGGGGGTGCCCGACGGGCCTGCGCCGAGGTTGGGAAATGACGAGGCGGAGGTCCGGAGCGCGAGTTACCAACCGAACCGTATGGTTGGGTCGCGTCGTGAACAGTGGCGGGAACAGTGTCGAGGCTAATGTCGCGAGTCGTAACGGATTACTGTTGGGTGCTGTTGGTGGGAACAGTGGTGTACGCGCTGAGCACGGACGCGAATTAAGGAAAAGGATTTTTCCTTACACGCTTTGAAAGTTTCGCCAACTACTCAATTACCTCCGCAACCACCTCGTGCAGGTTGTTATGAGTTGTGAAAGGAAAGTGCGCAGGATTCAATTGTCAAACACTATGTGTTATTGTTGTGTAGGCTATAGTGGGTTAGCCTTTAGGGGGTACACAAAGCTAGGGTTTCCTACGTGTACTCCAACTTTCATAGTGCAATCACTTCTTCTTCGTAACATGGTTTCAGAGCAGGTCCTCCGCTAGGACCGATTCTTAGGGCCCACCACTACTGCTGCCTACTAGCGCCCTCGTGCGCCCTACTGTCGGAGCGCCCTCGAGCGCCTCCCCCCTTAGCGCCCTCGTGCGCCTCGTTTTCACGGCCCCCCAAGGCCCCGCGATCCGCGACCCGCCCCCCCTTAGCGACTCGCGCGCCGCCCCTTAGAGGCCCCGTCGACCCCGTGCGCCGCCCCTTAGAGGCCCCGCTCGCCCCGCTTAGAGGCCCCGTCGGCCCCCCTATACCCCGCGCGCAGCCCACCCCTTAGCGGCCCCGTCGGCCCTGTCGACCCCACGCGCCGCCCCTTAGCGGCCCCGCTGGCCCCGTCGACCCCACGCGCCGCCCCTTAGCGGTCCCGCTGGCCCCGTCGACCCCGCGCGCGACCCCCTTAGAGGCCCCATCAGCCCCGTTTGCCCCGCGCGCGCCCACCCCTTAGCGGCCCCCGTCGGCCCCCCCTCGACCCACGCGCCGCCCCTTAGCACCCCGCCGCGACACCCACGGCCCCACCAGAACGAGCCGCCCGAACCGAGCAGCCCGAACCGAGCCCCCCAGCCCGAACCGAGCCGCCCGAACCGAGCCGCCCAGCCCAAACCGAGCCGCGCCGCCCGAACCGAGCCGCGCCGCCAGTGCTGGACCGAGCCGCCCTACCTGAGTCGCACTGCCTACTGTTTTGAGGGTGCACCTACTGCTGCTACTACTACTCTACTACTGCTACTCCTACTACTACTATGGCTAGTCCTCCTGTGCTAGCTTTCGATGCTGAGGGCCGCCCAGTGAAGTTCGAAACCTGGCTAGATGACCTACACCTCTTCCTACAGCTCACTGCCAAGGAGGACATCTCACTGTACGATCACGCCCTAGGCCATGCGACTGCTCCTGCTGATACTGCTGACAGCACTGCCCGCTCACAGTGGCAGACTCGTGACGCCCAACGCTCGCTTCGCTATTCGCAACTCCCTGCCGATAGACGAGCGCGAGCACTTTGGCCAGCACAAGACTGCACAGGCACTGTACACACCGCTGTCGTTGCCCGCTACTCCTCATCTGCCTCTGCCGCGCTAGGCCGTCTCTCACTCCCCTACCTGTTTCCCGACCTGGCCTCGTTCACACAATCGCTGACCTCATCACGCACCTCCGTACTAGTGAGGCCCGCTTCCGTGCCGCCATGCCCGATGAGTTTCTTGCCAAGAACCCTCCCCCGCTTTGGCTCACTCTCTACCACCTAGTCACCCGCCTCCCTGACACTCTGCGCGCTGTCAGGGATCACTTCCTAGCTCGCTGCACCACTGAGCTCACCATTGCCCTCCTCGAGAAGGAACTGCTTGCAGCTGAGGCTAGCATAGTCGCTGTAGGTGCCTCTTGTGGCGACCCCCGCACCCCTTTCTTTGAGGAGTGTTCCCCTTCCCCCCTTCTTCCCTCTGTAGCCTCTGCTTCTGCTATCGACCTCCTTGGTTCTAAGAAGGTCGGGGCTGCATCTGCTTTGAGCGGGCGCCGCAGCGGCAAGGGGCAAAGGGAGCAAGGGAGGCGGAGGTGACGGCGGGGGAGGCGGTGGTGGGGGTGGTGGCGGCGGTGGGGGTGGTGGTGGGACTGGTGGGGCTAGTGGCAGCAGTGGGGGTGGTGGCGGCAGCGGCGGGGGAGGTGGCAGGGGCGGGGGCGGTGGTGGGGGCGGCGGTGGACACGGCGACGGCAAGGGGGAGGAGGTGGTCAAGGAGGTGGCGGCGGCGGTGGTGGTCGTGGAGGCACTGGCGGTGGCCAGAGCCTGCAGCACTCTCCGTCGCCCCAGGAGCTCCGTGAGTGGTACGCTTAGCACAGGGGGGGGGGGGGGTGGCCTTAGCTTCACGTACGTCATCCGCACTGGTGACCGCGCTGGTCAGACGTGTGGGAGGGCGCACCCCACGCAGCGCTGCTTCTCACGCCTCGACGACGCTTGGCGTACTCAGTTCCCTGACGCCACTGAGCTGCCCCGCTGGGCTGATCTGATGAAGCAAACATTGATATCTTTGCTCTAGACTTTGATGCTATTCTCTCTGCCATGCATGTGATGTCTATTAGTGGAGAGGGTGCCCAGTACCTGCGTGTTCCGCCCGACCCGGGCATTCGAACCGGTGAGGCTGCCGCTCTAGGTGCTAGAGTGTCTGCTACCCCAGGTGCTGGTGAGGCTGCTGCTCTAGGTGCTGGTGCGTCTGCGCCCCCTGGTACTGAGTCGACTGAGGCACAGCACACCTTTACACTAGACTCAGGTGCCTCCCGCTGTTTCTTTCGTGACCGCACGGCTCTTGAGCAGCTTGCTCGGCCCGTTGCAGTCTCTCTCGCTGACCCCTCTGGGGGTCCAGTCCTTGCGACCTCCTCCACTGTCCTCCCCTGTCTGGCCGTCCCGTCAGGCACACTGTCCGGTCTCTACCTCCCCTCGCTCCAGGACAGGGGTGTCCCACCAGTTCACACCTGCCTACGAGCGCGTGACACACTACACGTGTGGTCGGACGGGCCGTCACCTGGCGACCTTCACACGGCAGCCGGGGTCGGACCTGTACACACTGACTACTCAGTCCCCTCAGGTAGCTGCGTCTGCGTCTGCGTCAGGTCAGCTGTCGGCCCCCTGCTCTTGCCGCTCTCTGGCGCACGGAGACCGTCCTCTGGCAACCACCAACTTGGTCACCCGTCCGTGCAGCGCCTTCGGGCAATGCACAAACGGTACCATTGTCTCTGGTCTTCCCAGAGTTCTACCTCCCCTCCCACCCTCGCCAGCTCCTCCCTGTCTTCCCTGTGTCGAGGGGCGGCAGCGCGCTGCTCCTCACTCCTCCTCGTTTCCCCCGACGACTGCTCCCTTGCAGACGCTCCACATGGACGTGTGGGGCCCCGCCCGCGTCCGTGGTCAGGGTCAGGAGAGGTACTTCCTGATAGTTGTTGACGACTACTCGCGCTACACCACGGTCTTCCCCTTGCGCACCAAGGGTGAGGTCCCTGATGTTTTGATCCTTTGGATCCGCGCTTCTCGTCTTCAACTCAACGAGCGTTTCCACTCGGACTTTCCTGTCCTGCGCTTGCACTCTGACAGAGGGTGGTGAGTTCTCTTCCGACCTCTTGGCAGCCTACTGTGCGGAGCACGGCATCCGCCAGTCGTTCACGCTTCCGGCCTCTCCACAGCAAAATGGGGTTGTTGAGCGCCGCATTGGCTTGGTCATGGAGGTCGATCGTACCTCCTTGATCCATGCGACTGCCCCCCACTTTCTGTGGCCGTTTGCGGTCCGATACGCTGTGCATCAGCTCAACCTCTGGCCCCGTGTCTCCTTGCCGGAGACCTCTCCGACACTGCGTTGGACGGGAGAGGTTGGCGATGCGTCGCGTTTTTGGGTCTGGGGATCCCGAGCTTTTGTTCGCGATACGTCCGCGGACAAGCTCTCCTCCCGCGCTGTTCCGTGTGTCTTCGTAGGCTTTGTTCCGGACACGTCTGGCTGGCAGTTTTACCACCCCACCTCGCGCCGTGTCCTCGCCTCTCAGGACGTCACCTTTGACGAGTCGGTACCCTTCTACCGCCTCTTCCCCTACCGAACTGCCCCGCTCCCTCCCCCGCCTCTTCCCCGCTTGTGGTCCGGAAGGCAAGGTCGGCGGACCGAGCCTGGTTTTCCGAAAATCGGGGTTGTAGGCGTACAATGTGACCCAGTAAGGAATCCGAGAAAATTCCTCACACTCCCCCCCCCCCCCCTTAAGAAAGGTGGTGGATATCTGAGACACCTCGGCAGGCCAGGTAAGCATCCACAACCGGATGTCCCTGTAGCGAGGCAGCTGCGACATACGTGTCGTCCTCGCTTGTGCGGTTTCCAGAGAAGCAGGAATTTGACCAAGCGGCCGGCGGCAGTCAGCTCCACGTGATGGTTCAGATTCTTCCAAGGCTCGAGCGTGGGTTCCGCCACGGGGCGTGTGGTCGGCGCGATGGTTGGCCGAGCGATAGCTGGCGACTGCGGCTGTTCATAGTGCCGCAGTAGGCTGACGTGGAACGCGTCATGTATCTTCCAGTCGTCAGGCAGGAACAGCTTCGCAGTGACAGGTGTCACCATCTGGACGATTCGAAATGGTCCCACGTATCTGGGTCGTAATTTTTCCGGCTGCGGCAGTCGGAGATTTTTGGTGTCCAGATGGACAACTTGTCATGTGCGAAAGGGCAAATCTCGTCGATGCTTGTCCGTCTGGCGGTTGGCCGTGGTATAAGCTTTACGAATAAAGTCAGCTGCCTTTTTGCGTGCTGTCTGTAGTTCCGTGACAAACTGCTGCGATCGTGGTACCCGGGTTGTCCAGGGTCGTTGAAGAGGGTACCACGGGGTCTATCCCGTGATTCAAGTAGAAGGGCGATTGTTTAGTCGTGGCCGAAGGGGCATTGTTGTAACGCGAATTCCAGCATCGACAGCAAGTCCTCCCACTTGCGAATGTCCGGGCAGTTTGTGCGAATCAGCTGCTCCATGGTTTGATTTGTCCGTTCTGTCGGTCCGTCGGTCTGTGGGTCGTATGACGACGAAAAACTGCAGGCGGGTGCCGTACTGTGCCCATGTCTCCTGCCAGAACTTCGACGTAAATTTTGGACCCCCGATCGCTGATGATCGCCGAAGGTAACCCGTGTAGGCGTACGACGGTGGAGATGAAGAGTTTTGCGGTATCTTCAGCTGTGATCGTCGTGCGGCAAGGTGCGAAATGCGCCATCTTCGCCAGGCGATCGACGACGGCCATAACCAAGTCGTTGCCACTTGCGCCAGCTGGAAGCCCTGTGACGAAATCCATCATCACCTGTTGCCATGGTCGTTCGGGGTGGCTCGAGGGGCTGCATCAGTCCGGCTGGCCTTTGTACGACTTCATCGCTTGGCAGGTCGGGCAAGTTCTTACATAGCGCTGCACGTCGGTGAGCATATCCGGCCAGTAATAATTCCGCTGCAGCAGCTTCAGTGTTTTGTCGATGCCGAAACGCCCGGAGAGGTTGGAGTCGTGTACCTTCTGCGTCAGCAACTCCCGTAAAGGCTAGTAGGCGGGCACCCAAATCCGGTTCGTTCCGGTTTTTAGGTGATAATTGCCGTGGGGCGTAGTAGCCTGTTGGTGCCGGTTCTTGAAAAACCTGTCAATCTTGTAGACGTGGGTGAATAGTCCCGTCAGCATCGGGTTGGTATGGGCGATTAGTACCGCCAGCTTTCTGCATGGATGGTCGGGTGAGGGCGTCAGCAATGATGTTGGCGCCTTTCTTATACGTGATGGTGTACCGAAAATTGGACTCGAAGAAGTCCAAACACCGGATTTGTCGCGGGTTGAGTGTTGGTTGCGTGCGCATGTACTGTAGCGATTTGTGGTCGGTTCGAATGTCACGTCGGCTCCCATGAGGTAGCAGCGCCAGGTACGAAACGCGTGGACGATGGCCAGCATCTCTTTGTCGTGGACCGGGTAGTTGCGCTCGGGTGGTTGCATCTTGCGTGATTCGTAGGCGATGGGTTGCAGCCCATTGCCGAAGTCCTGTAGTAGGACTGCGCCGACGGCGAAATCGCTGGCGTCCGTGATGACTTCGAACGGTCGAGATGGGTCGGCGAGGCGGAGGACCGGGGGTGAACTCAAATGTTTTTGAGTGCGTCGAAGGCGGACTGCTCCCTCTCCCCCCACCGAAAATGAGTGTCCTTGTGCAGCAGGTCGGTCAGCGGTTTGGTTATTCCTGCCATATTAGGTACAAAACGTCGAACGTGGTTAACGAATCCCAAAAAACTCTGCAATTCGGGGATATTAGTTGGCGGCTTCCACTTAACGACGGCGTCCACCTTACGCGGGTCGATTTTGATGCCTTGGCCGGAAACGACGTCGTGAAAGTTAGAAGAGAGAAGAGGGCTGCACTAGCAAGAATGAGGATACAAATAGCAAACCCTAGAAGGGTTGTACTCGCTATAGAGCACCCCACTACAGGCTAGAGCATAAGATAACATTCTGACACACCCCCATAGCCAAAGTGGGGTGTAATCAGCAGAGCAAGCAAAGCAGTACAAGCTCAGGGTGGATCACAATGTCACCACACATTCTGAGCACAAGTTCAAGAAGCAATAGTTTAAAGTTCACAATTATGAGCAAAGCTAGTGGTAGTCACAACGCGCAAGTGAGGAGGAGGAGAGAGAGTGAGAGGAGAGGAGATAGGAGGCGACAGATGAAGCTGCAGACACACGGGCAACAGGAGGCACACTGGCACAGCGGCTACCGGAACAACGCTCCGGAATACTGGAGTAACTGGCCCCGCGGCTAAAGTAGCGGCAGACGAGCAACGGACCCACGGGCGACTGGCACAGCTGGCTACGACTGGGCTACCGGACGAAGTCCCCGGAATACAGGTGCTGCTGGCGACACGACGGCAACCTCCATTCAGCTTCCCCAAACTATCCCACTCCCCCTGGCACACACCCACTGCTACACCGCTAGCTCCACTCCCCCTTCACCCCCCTTAGTACCACTCCACCGGCTCCAACACGTCCACCCCCCCCTCAGCGGCAGCTGCAGCACAAGGAGACGGAGGAGGAGGAGGAGCAGGGAACGGTACAGAGTGAAGTCACCCCCATACCCCTCACCCCCAAACCCTAATTCAGGAGAATGGGGAGTAGGAGGGGTGGGGCGCCAGTAGAAGCACTGGGGGACAGCGGGGAGGGCAGGGGCAGCGAGGAACGGGCCCACCACGGGCCTGGTAGAGATGCCCGAGCCGCGCGCAGGCGGCCCGAGCCGCGCACGGGCCTGGCGCCGCCCGTACGGGTCGCGCGCGGGCCTGGCGCAGCCCGTACGGGCCGCGCACGGGCCTGGCGCAGTTCGTACGGGCCGCGCGCGGGCCTGGCACAGCCCGTACGGGCCGCGCGCTGCCTGTACGGGCCACGCGCAGGCCACGACGGGCGACGTGGGGCGACAGCGCGGGTCCCCGTCGCCCGTCGCGGCGCCTCCAGAGGGCAACGCGGCGAACGACGGGGCAGAAGCCCACCGCGCGCCTCGGGGCGCACAGCGGGCAGAGAACCGCCGCGCGCCTCGGGGCGCACGGCGAGCAAAAAAACCGCCGCGCGCCTCGGGGCGCACGGCGGGAAGGAAAACTGCCGCACGCCACGGGGCGCGCGGCTCAGAGAGTAGTGGTGGTAGTTGCAGCGGAAGCTAGGAGGTGGTAAGCCCACCCACAGGATCGATCCAAGGGGATCGACCTGCTCTGATAGCATGTGAAAGTTAGAAGGGAGAAGAGGGCTGCACTAGCAAGAATGAGGATACAAATAGCAAACCCTAGAAGGGTTGTACTCGCTATAGAGCACCCCACTACAGGCTAGAGCATAAGATAACATTATGACAGACGTGCCCCAAAAACTCCAACTCCCGCTTTAGGAACTCGCACTTAGACCCCTTCGTAATTAGCCGATGCTCCTGTAGACGCCGGAACACCTCCTCCAAATCCCGTAAATGTTCTTCTTTCGTCTTGCTGTACACCATGATGTCGTCGAGGTACAACGATGATCTTTTTGTCCAGCATGTCCCGAAAAATCCCGTTCATCGTCAGCTGGAACGTCGAGGGCGCGTTTGTCAGTCCGAACGACATCACTGTATATACGTAACTGCCATAGCGTGTGCGAAAAGCTGTCTTCGGGCAGTCATCGGCGAGCACACGAATTTGGTGGTAGCCTTCTCGCAGGTCGATCTTCAAAAAGTAGCAAGCTCCGCGAAGTTGATCAAGCAGATCGTTAGTTCGCGGGATCGGGTAACGCGATTTTATCGTGACCCGATTCAGCGCCCGATAATCAATGCACATGCGTAGGCCCCCGTCCTTCTTCGGCGTGAACAGTATCGGCGCTGCAAATGGTGACGTGCTTGGCCGTATGAACCCCTTGGCTAGTAGGTAATCCAGCTGGCTCCGCAATTTGCCGAGCTCTGGTTGGCTGAGCCGCCACTGTGTCCGCACAATAGGTTGCGCGCCGGGTTCGAGCTGGATCCGATGTTCTTCTGGACGCTGAGGGGGCAGGCCATCCGGGAGGTCATCCGCGAAAATTTCGGGATACCTCCGAATAATGTTCGCCAACTCCTCAGGGACTGCCGCGCAGAGCGTGTCGATGTCTGCGAATTTTTCGGAAGCTGCCACCTCGTACAGGTGCACTGCGTAGGCTTGAGCTCCACCGTTGATCGCCCGCGCCATGTCCTTGCATGTCCTTGCACGACGCACCCCCCTGCTGTCCAGTTGATCTTCGGATTGAAACGCTGCAGCCAGTCTCGTCCCAGCAACACATCGCAGCCGTCCAAAGTTGTCGCCAACATCTTCATGCCGAACCTGAAATTGTCGCCACACGCAATCCGGTTTTTTTCGCGCCTCATCTCGGATGGCCAGCAGTGTTCCATCCACCAACCTTGCATCGATTTCCGGCAGACATCTGTTCAGCTTCACCCCTATTTTTTTGGCCGTTGCTAGATTGACGAGGCTATGAATCGCTCCACCGTCAACGAATATTTTTATTTTTATAACCGTTAACCCTCCCCACCACCAGCACAGGGTAGTCCATGTGTTCACCCACGTTATTCGTCCGGTTCTGGTCGATAGCTCTGATCGGTACCACGACCCAGTGTGGATGGTGATTGTCAAACGACAGGGTCTCGTCAGTAGAGCGCCCGTCTGCTACTGACTCGTATCTTTTCCCGACCCTTCTCCGTCGTTCTTCTTCCCCTGCTTAAGCCTCGGGCAGTCTTTTTCAGGTGGCCCAGCTGGTTGCATATGAAGCATGTTGAAATGAATGAACAGGAATGATTGAACTAACAGTGAAATCAGTACAAGTACCTAACCCTAGAATTGTGTACCCCCTATAGGCTAACCCACTGTAGCCTAAACAAGCACAACATATATAATGTTTGACAAAGCACGGCCCGAGGGCTCGGCTTGGCGCGTCCACGCCGTTGATCGTGGGTTGCTGAGTCGGTCCGCGAAATCGAGGGCCCTCCCGGGAGCTCGATCTCGCCCACAGTATCAGTGCATCCGTTGATTCGGCTTCTCGGACAGCGTCGTTAATGTTGCGTGGCCGCGTTCGTCGAACCTCGTACTGTATCTCATATTCCAGGCCCGCCACGTAGCGATCCAATCGCTCCGCGTCGCTCATGTCGTCCACTTGGTCCGCCAAGTTGCAGAATGTGCTGGTATATTCTTGGACCGAAGTCAGCTGCTTCCTGGCACGCAGCTTCATGCGAGCAGAGTCCGAGGCGGATATGTGCTCGAATCTAGTTCGCAGGGCGGCGCCCCACTCCCTCCATGTGCGTATCGTAGCCGTCCCGAAAATTGAAGCTGCTCGTTGCGTGACAAGTGTCGAAGTCCCGTCGTTCGCACGTGCTAATCTTGCTGAAGTCCCTTCGTCTTGCAACGCGTCGCCACCTCTCCAGCGCAGGTCCTCTCAACAGTGAAACTGCGAAGTTAATGCGGGTGACATCATCATTAATCATAGCAGCATTAAAAAACACCTCCGCTGTGAACAACCATGCAGAAACAGTGACGATCTTGTCACTTGGGTTAAACGGGGACATGTTTGTCGGCTTGATTTTGACAGTTGCTGAAGCCATTAATGCCGCGTAAACTGTTGGCGCCGCTGCTGTCGTCGCCGGAGCTATCGCTGCTGCACGTGTCGGCGCTGCATGTGACTATTGCGGTGACTATTGCGGTGACTGTGCCTGCCTCGCATCATCCGCATCCATGGAGCCTTCTAACTCGCTCCAGACCCGCTCGTCTGGCGTGGAGCTGCTACTTGCGTCCTCAAAGATAGGCGACTCCTTGCGCGCTTCACCACGTCCCTTGTGTAGTTCGGCGTTTTCATTCCGCAGGCGCTCCATCTCTGCAGTCATGCCCTACAAGTTGGCCTGCATCGCACGGAACTTTTGCACGAACTTGTTAAACTCGGCCTGATCCATGGGCCTCAGGCTTCGTTGAACGGGCAGGGGTTGACTAGCGATTTTTCTGACTTTGGTGAAAGCGTCAACGCTATCGTAGTCGGAGTGAAATAATTGTATCTATTTCACAGGCCGACCGCTTTACAGCCCACCAAGTCTATCACTCCCCTTATACAAACTACCCCGGAAACACGAGGGTAACCTAGGAAAGTAGGCTCTAATACCAAGTGTTATGAGTTGTGAAAGGAAGAGTGCGCATAATTGAATAACGCGGAAGTGATTACAACGTCTGAGGGAACAACGAGGCCTAGAACTAATATAGCAATGCTAGCTAGGCCGTGGTCGCGGGGTCCAGGGTGGTTGGGTGCAGGTTCGGGGTTGGGAAACCCGAAGGCGACGCGGTGATGGTTCGGAAGGCGAGGTCGGCGGACTGAGCCTGGTTTTCCGAAAACTGGGGTTGTACGCGTACAGTGTGACCCAGTAAGGAATCCGAGAAAATTCCTTACCCAGGTTGACGCGAGCTAAAATTGCAACGGCAAGCACGTTCAAGTACTAGGATTGAGATCGGCGCGATGCGCAATTTTGGCTACGGGTTTTGCAATTGTTCCGTTCAAACATCGAAATCAAAACACGCTGTGCTGGTCTTATCCGAACCCACGTCACTATCGAGGCTTGGGGGCACCGTGCTGTGACAGGAGCAACTTGGGCGTGAGGAAGGCGTGTAGAGTGCGAGCATATTTGCCTATCCCACAGACTCATGCTGCTGTGGCCTGACATGGCGCACATCGTTTTATCTCGGCTTACCCTCGTCGCATGCTGGAATGCACGCGGCGCACCCGCGGGAGAGCTGGCGCCGGCGTGCACAGCTGATTGTAACCAGCCTTCTTGCACAGATTGTCCTCCTGCCATGCGCCTTCTTCTCCTCCCTCTTGGCGGACTGCTGCTCGCCTTTCGTCGCGAAGAGCCTCGTCTGTTTCTGTCGCGCACACGACATTCAAAATCGTTGGAAGGCAAGAGTTTTCAACTTGCACGGCACAAACAGCGAAAGCCAGCGATTAGGCGGCATTGTTGGTCACTGTCCCAAAGACCGAGGCCAGCGCTTGTTAGAAGTACGAAGCAGTCCTCCTCAACCCCTCTTTGCCGACCCCTATTTCTCGCACCGCCGCTCTCACCAGCGCTCACACCGCCGCTCTCACCGCCGTTCTCACCGCCGCCCTCACCGGCGCCATGGAGCACAGCAGCGGCGGCAGCACGGGTACTACTGGCCTTGAGGCGTGCGGCCTCGACCGTTGCGTGTTTCTGGCAGTGCACGGCAGGGAGGACGGCAGTCAGAGTAGCATTCAGGGCCGTGCCACACGTGTAGGGGAGCGATGGCGTGGCGCCGAATTGCAAGGGGCGGAGGAGGAGGCGGCGGGTGACGTAGAGGAGGAGGTGGGGCAGGGGCGTAGGAACACAGTGGAGGTGGTAGCTGCCCTGTCGCTCCTGTCCTCCTTGTGCTCCGGTGTGTCGGGTGGGTCGCTTCTTCCTCCTTGTGCGGCTGTGTCTGCTCTCGTATCGTTCCACTCATCCCTGCTTCCGTATCCACTCCAATAATGAAGGCTCGTCTTTTATCCATGCGTTCCCTTGCATCCATGCGTTCCCTTGCATCCATGCGTTCCCTTGCATCCATGCGTTCCCTTGCATCCATGCGTTCCCTTGCATCCATGCGTTCCCTTGCATCCATGCTTCTCTGCCCTCCCTTGACGTCACTTTCTTGTCGTCTCCGTATGCCCACCGCTGCCTCTCTCCCCGTCCTTCTCCCCTCCCCTCTCCCCATCCCACTCCGCACCCCTTTCCCCACCACTCGCTCTCCCCATCCCACTCCGCACCCCTTTCCCCACCACTCGCTCTCCCCATCCCACTCCGCACCCCTTTCCCCACCACTCGCTCTCCCCATCCCTCACCACGCCTTTCCCGACGTGGCAGGCATGGGCCGGGGATCCCCAGAGTGGCAGCAGCATCTGCAGCGAGTGCTGCCGCCTCACGCCCTGCAGGGCCTGCGCACAGCGCTGCTGCTCGTGCCCTCGCGCGCCCAGCGCCTCGCTGCAGACAAGGCGTGGACGAGGGCGCAGCGACAGCTGGCAGGGCAGCAGGCCGAGCAGCAGGCAGAGCAGCAGGGGATGCAGGAAGGGAGAGGTGGGGGAAAAAAGCAGCATCAGGGGCAAGCAGCGGCTGTGGTGGGCGTGCAGATTGCTGTGGCAGGCCGGCCCAGTCTTTCCGGTGGCTGTGCTGGCGCCGACCTGGTGTTGCTCTCCGCGGTCTGCGCCCCCCCTGCTGCGTCCGCCTCCACACGCGCCCTTCCAGCCGTCTGGCCTCCCTCCAGGTCGTTACTGGGCCTGCTAGTGTTGCTACTCATGTTGCCATGCTGCCTTTTCAGTGCAGAGCATTCCGTGGTTTGACTTATACACGGCCTGCGTGGCATGCATGGGATGCACCCGAAGCATCGTGGCTGGCCCATGTGCGTGCATGCTGCAGTATGCCTGTGCTGTTGCCCATTCTACCATCCTCTGCTCTGCTCTGCCGCTCTTGCCATGCCTCATTCATCCCTTTTCCCCATCACAGGATCCGCGCTGCTCTCTCAACCCCGGCACGTGTCCTCATCATCTTGGGCCACGAGGGCACCCTCTCATCCGATAGTGCCACGTGGCGCCGTGTCATTGGCCACACCAAGGCCCACAGCAGGTTCTTTGATGCAGAGCGACTGGGCGAGGCACTGAGGAGGGCGGTGAGGGCAAGGCGCGCGGCAGTGGACGAGATGGCGCAGATGCTGGGGGAGGCTACTGAATTCGCGTCTGGGGGGGCTGTGGGAAGCGTCTCTGGAGGATCCATGCAGTGGCATGATCTGCTGTGGACGGTATGACTGGCGTGTTTGATGTTATTTGGCTGTGAGGGCGTGAGGCCTGTGGGCGGGACGGTGGGTGGGGCACTGTTATTGATCCCTGTCTCACTCCCCTTCCTTCTCATTCCACCACCGCCCCCCGTATTCCTGCATGCACCTTGCTCCGTCTTCCCTGCACAAACCAACATTCCCACGGGCTACATCCCCCTCGCCTCGCCTCCCTCTTCTTTCCCCCACCCCTTTTACTCCCCTTCAACCCCCTGCCTCTCTCCTTCCTTACCCCACCCCCTCTCTCTCTCCCCTCTTCCTTCCCCTTCCCAACGATTCCCGACAGGGTCTGTTTTCGCCATCATTTGGAGAGGCTCTGGAGCGGCATGAGTCTGCGGAGGTGCTGCTGCTGCTGTGCCGCATACTGCAGGGACGGCAGGGCAGGCGTGGGGAGAATGGCGGCAAGGCGCTGCATCGCTGGCTGGAGGGCGGGGGCAGGGGGGCGGGGCGAGGGCGGGAGGATGAGCTGTCACGGCAGCTTGGTGACATCGTGCATGTGGATGTGGTCGGCGACCTTTGTCTTATCTGGTCAACCGATGTGTGCCATGAAACGCTCAAGCAGGTAAGGCTGAGGTAAAAACGAGGCGACGTTGTTCGAACGTCCAAGCAGCTAAGGACTGGTTAACCGATGGTGTTCAAACGAGTCAGGCAAACACAAGGCGAGTATTACTTGCCTTGCTGTTTTCTCATGTCTACTGCCCAATGCCCATGCCCCCAATGCCCCCCCTGCATCTCGTGCTATAAGCAGGTGGTGAGGTTGTGGGCGCTCGTGCCGGAGAGCCAGTGCAGGCCATGGCTGCACCGCATATCCGCCCACCTCACCTGCTACTCGCCTGCCTACCTGCACTACTGCGCTCTGCACCAGTACACATGCTCCTCCTCACCTCGCCTGCGCGTGCCTGCTGCTGTGCAGCAACCCGGGATACACTGGTGGCGCCCTCCCTCAGGTATGGCTGGCTAGATGGCACCTTCCAATTCAGCGCCCTTTTCTCCTTCCACTCCCACCTGCCAGCTCACACCATGCGTCCGCTCTGCTCCCTCTCTTTCACCTCTCAGAGGCCCCCACCGAGGGGGCAGGGGACGCAGGGGACGCAGCGACACCACCAAAGTTCATAGCGCTGCAGCCCGCCATGGCACTCGCGCTGCTGGCGCAGGGATCAGGTGCGCTCAGCGGTGCGCTGAGCCATGTCCCCTTTGAGGTCAACGCGGAAGAGCGCGCTGCTGTCACCTGCCCCTCCAGCCTCGTCCTACATGGCCGCTCTGGTGGGTCCTGAGGGAGTCATAAGGGTTCGGCGGGGTCAAAATGGGTCCAGAGGGGTCAAAGGTTATTGAACGGGGTCAAAGGGGGTCCATGGTGGTCAGCGCGTGACTCTTGAGCTGCTTTACCTGCTTCTGAGTGGTCTTCCTTGCTTCTGCTGTGCTAGTCCCAAACTGAGTTACATGGATTCATTGTGTGATGTGAGGTAATGTGGTGTTATGAGGCTATTCCAGGTGTTTATAGTGTTCTTCTAATGCGGGCAGGGCTGTGTGGCGCTTGAGCTTCAGTGCGGAAGGCTCTTTACAAGACGTACAAACGAATATACCAGATTCGTACTCTCTGGAAGCTCCTTAACCACGCCAATATCAACTGTCAGCAAGCATGTGTAAACACCCTCACCTCAGTGCTCCCATCCCTTTTGAGGCGCCTCAAAAGTCAATATCAACTGTCAGCAAGCATGTGTAAACGCCCTCACCTCAGTGCTCCCATCCCTACTCTCAGCCCCTACATACCCCTCCCTCACTCTCTCTCCCCATCCCCACTCCCAGGCACGGACAAGACAACAGTCATATTCCACCGAGTTCTGCACCTGGACCGTCTCTTTGAGTCGACTCGATATCAACTCTCCCCATTCCCACTCCCTCCCAGGCACCGGCAAGACAACAGTCATACTCCACCGCGTGCTGCACCTGGACCGGCTCTTCCGCCTCTCTGCCCTCCCGCCCCACCTGCTCCTCGGACTGCCTTCTCCTGCCAACGCTTCAATCACCGCACAGGGTGACGGCGTGGGTGATGATGTGGGGGATGGGAGCGGGGGCGGGTTGCGGCAGGTGGTGTTGACTCGGAGCCTGCACCTGTGCGCGTCCATTCAGACTGAACTCGTGAAGGCTGCACGGTGAGAGTGGGGGCTGCTGCTGCTGCTTGTGCGTGCAGCCAAGAGGACACGATGGGTGTCATCAAGTTGATGCCTCTCTGGTGGTTGTCTGTTGCATGGCGCTCATGGGTGTTGCATTGCGTTGCATTGCATTGCACGCTGCATGAATGGGCCTTTTATTAGGTGTGGACGTGCCAAGGAGGCAGGCTGGAATGGAACTCCCTGCATGCAAGCCCAAGTGCCTTGTGTCTCCCTCCCCCATCCACCATGCTACCTTTTGAGTCGACTCAAAAGTAAACCCAAGTGCCTTGTGTCTCCCTCCCCCATCCCATCCACCATGCTACCACCACCACCACCAGGGCGATAGCAGCCCTCGATGCTTTCCAAGCCGGCTCGCCCCCGCCACTCCCCCAAGCGGGTCAACATGCGCACGGAGCACAGGCAGCTGTTGCAACAGCCGGTCAACGCGTGGGGAGCAGGAGCGGCACGGGCAGCAACAGTGGCAGCGGCAGCAGCAGCGGTGGCAGGCTGTTAATGCGGGAGGACCTGGAGAGCGCCCTTATGGGGGGGTTGCCGCTGTGCATCGCCGCCATTCCGCCCACCGCGTTCCCCCTCGCGCTCACCCTCTCCAAGCTGCTGCGCCTGCTCGACGCGTCCGTCTCGCGCCCCTTCCTGCACTCCACGCGGCGCCGGCGCCGGCAGGAGGAGGCGAGGCAGCGCCTGGTGCTGGCCATTGGCGTGAGTGGGCGGGGCGTGAGGCAGGCGTGGGAGGAGGGGCAGGTTGAGGGCGCGTGGAGTGGCCGTGTTGAGAAGGACCGGTGGGAGGCGAAGGGGGGCAGTGCGAAAGGGGGCAGTGCAAGGGGGGAATGGAGGCGAGAAGGGGAGGGCTTGGGAGGAGGCGAGTGCAGCAGGAGTGGAAGAGGGCGGGATGGCTGGGGAGGATGGCGGGAGCAGCGGGTGAAGGGTGGAAAGGGGAAAGAAGCAGAGGAGGAAGGAGAAGGAGAGGAAGGGGAGGGGGAGGAGGACGTGGAGGTGGATTATGAGCGGTTCAGGCGGCACTACTGGGCGCACCTGGACAAGCGAGCCACCAACAGAGCTGTGATGGATGCGGCATTCGTGTGGCGCGAGATCAGCTCTCACATCAAGGGCAGCCTGCAGGCGATGCAGTCGCTGCAGGGGCATGTGGGCGAGGAGGAGTACGTGGGGGGCATGGTGGGCAGCAACGAACGCACGAGTGGCATGAGAGGGGCGGACCGGCAGGCGGTGTATGATGTGTTCCGGGCGTATGAGAGGAGGAAGAGGCGGCAGGGCGAGTATGACTGCGCGGACCTAGTGGGGTATCTGCACCGCGAGGTGCGGCGCATGCGGGCGAGCAACGAGCCGTGGTGGGCTGTGGAGGATGGCGTTGCCGTGGGTGGTGCATCCAGCAGTGGCGCCAGTCGCGATGGTGCCAGTCGGCGCACCACTGTTGGATGCACCACCACTGGCAGTGTGCCGTCACAGCCGTCACATGCACCACAGCCCAGCGGGTGCGTAGGTGCTGTGTTTGACTGTGTGGCGGTAGACGAGGTGCAGGACCTCACACAGGCACAGCTCGCGCTGCTGCCGCTCCTTTGCTCCAACGTTGCTTCTGGCTTCGTGCTCGCGGGTGACACGGCTCAGTCCATCGCTCATGGGGTGGACTTCCGCTTTGAAGACCTTGCCCGGGTTGTCTATAGCGAGTTTCTGAATAAAGGGGATGAGTGTGGCAGGGTTGGGGGGGAAAGAGGGGATTCAATGGTGGGAAAGGGTGGCCAGCAAATCTGGGAGAGAGGCGAGGGGCGGAAAGAGAGGAGCAGAAAGGGTCAGAGTAAGATCAGCAATCCTAGCAGCAGCAGCCGCAGCAGCAGCAGCAGCAGCAATGCAGCGTCTCACCAGTTGGTGAAATCTCTCCCCACGTTTCAGCTGGTGCGCAACTACCGCACTCACAACGGAGTGCTGCGCCTCGCAAACAGCGTCGTGCAGCTTCTGAAAAGCTTCTTCCCGCTGTCCATAGACCGGCTGCATGAGGAGCTGAGTACGGTGGAGGGGTGCAAGCCGGTGCTGGCGGCAGTTTCCTCCTCGTGGAAACACCAGCTCGCTCAGGGCAGGCCTCTCAGCGCCACTCAGGTGGGCACCTTTCGCTCTCCCTTGTGCTGAACCGCACTCGCCTTCCAACAGGGCATACCTTCTAGGACCGGAAGTCCAAGCCCTCTAGGAAGCTATGCCCTCTAGGAGGGCTTTTCATGCACCCACCATACCATGCTTGAAATGCTAAGGTTCTTGTCGAGTTAAAAAAGTCACCTTGCGTGGAAGATCCTAAGGATCACCACACGACACATATCTCTTCGCGCCATGCAGGCCATCATAGTGCGCAGCGCGGAGGAGAAGCGTGCCATGGCTGGGCACTTTAAAGTGAAGCCGGTGGTCCTCACAGTCGAAGAGTGCAAGGGACTCGAGTTCGAGGTGTGTTCATGCCCCGCCTAACTTGTAACGCCGTGAATCGTACCAGGGGTCGCCTCATAGCAATGGCTGCAAGTTTCCTCGTTCTCACGATCCAATCCTGCCGAGCTCTCCACTTGCATGCTCACGATCTGCTGCCGTTTTGCTTTCGACTTTCATCCCCGTCCCTTCCGCCCTTCCTTGCGCTGTCCCTTGCTTGTCAGGACGTACTACTTTTCAACTTCTTCACCTCACCGCACTCCACGGCACCCTGGCATCTCGTGTACACCTACATGCGCAGCACTGGCCTCTCACCGCGCTTTGGCGCCAGCCTGCCTTGTCGCTGCAGCACCAAGGGCCATAGCAGCTGCAGTCTCTGCACTCTGGATGACCTCAGGTGGGCTTTGCTGCTGCCTTCGTGCCACGCATGCACTACAAAAAGAGTGACCCGGCTGTTGCTTGTCCTGTAAAGCATTCCTTCTGCGTCTGCTGTGCGTCTCTCTGTCTTCTCTAGGGTTGCAGCCGGGCAAGCCGATGGACTTCCTATGAACTTCACCTTCATCTTCACCTTCATCTTCACCTTCATCTGGGGTAGTGTAGGTCAGAAGATCTCGAAGCACTGGGCAGCAGAGTACAAGACTAGTCAGCCAGCTTGTGAACCCAAAGCATACGCACGTGTCTGCATTGTGAGTCGGCTCGACTCTACAATTGCCATGCATCTCTCTGCCTTCCATTACGTCCGCTGCCCTGTGCCCTGCAGGCACTGGTCGCTGTGCTCCGAGTTAAAGCAGCTGTACGTGGCAATAACGAGGGCCAAGCAGAGGCTGTGGGTGCTGGAGGAGAGGGGGGCAGGCGAGCGTACGCCCATGGGAGACCTGTGGGCGGCGATGGGCATTGTGGCAGTGAAGGAAGAAAGGGAGGTGTGCCCGGAGTATGTGAAGCGTGTGTCCAGTGAGAAAGACTGGAAGGCGCTTGGCTTTACTGTGAGTTGGTTGGGCAACAACAGCCTGTGCAGTGCTGGCGATGGTGGGAGGTTGTGGCTCTGCTCGTCTTGATGCTTCTCCCTGCTGCATCTCATATCTTAAACGCCACGTCATCTCTCAACCCTCTGGTCCCCCCCGCTCCTCTTGCTTCCGCGTGGTATCTATGCCAAATAAAGACTGCTGAGCAGCTGTCTTTTCTTGTTTTATTCAGTTACTATATTGTGCCTAGTTGGGAATCGACTACACAAAATGAAACCGAACATGACCAGCATTCAATATAAAAGTTGGATATTCTCTCAGCTTGAATTTGCCTTGCTGCGACCTCATATCCTCTGCGCTGCCCCTTCCACATGGTGCTCCCAACCCATGGTCCGCAGTTCTTTCAAAGAGGCGATTACGAGGCAGCTCGGGCGAGCTTTGAACGGGCTGGGGACACGGGCAACGCTCGCTTCGCTGAAGCCACCATGTTCTATGAGGCGGGCATAGGGTGCACAGCACAGCCATCTGCAGCCGCCATTGCTGTATCAACCTCCTCTGCATCATCAGCCTCGTCTGCGCTGCCCCCAGTGCTCCCGGACCTCTCTCTGCTGTCCTGCACCGATCTGCTCCTGGCTGCGGCTCGTTGTTTTGAGGGCATCAAGAGGGGCTTGGAGGCAGGCCGTGCGTATGCCAAGGCTGGGTGCAATGAGGAAGCAGGTAAGGGTTGTTTCACGTATGCATGGGGCGGTGAAGGTATGAGCGTTCATGTGCGACGATGAGCACACGGAGAAGGCTGCAGAGCATACATGAGCGCAGCGCAACGTTAGTGCATCTTGCAAGCACTCGCATGCGCCCCGCCGTTCGTCATCCACCATTCATTTCTTTCCTCGTCTGTCACGCATGTCATGCCTTTCACACGCTCGCCTTGCGCCCTGCTCTCCCGCCCTCCCTTAATCTTTTAAAGATTTCTCCCATCGCCCCACCCCCCCCGCCACCAGCACGTGCCTATCTCACGCTCTGCCAACCTCCTGACCACGCCAACGCTGCACGGTGCTTCGAGAAGCTAGGCAGGTTCGCCGAAGCATCTGATTGCTACAACGCCTTGGGCGACAGACCCAGTGCCCTCGCTGCGTGCCTACGTGGCAGCATCTTTGCCAAGGGCCTCTCACTGCTCGACAGCTGGCAGGCAGTGGCGTCTCACCAGGCCACGTCAGCACCGGCATCTCACGGGGCAAGTGAGTCCAGCTCAGCATCTGCGGGACCAAGGAGTGGAGATTTGTCTCACCTGAGGCATTGGTACGTAGAGGAATGTGCAAGGAGGCTGGGAGAGCGAGGCAGTTACGGCGAGATGATGGCGTATGTGCATCTGCTGCCGGGATTGCCCGCCAAGCGCGCGTTCCTGAGGGCGAGAGGCACCTGAGGGAGCTGGCAGGTCTAGAGGAGCAGGAGGGCGAGGTGAGGCGGGTGCCGGGTATACTGCTGAGAGCGGGATGCTGCTGGAGGCATGCACTCACTTGTGGAACAGGGGCTGGCCAGGGCGGGCCTTGGTGGCCTTTGTGCGGCACCTGCAGTGGCGGGTGAATGCGGCGGGACTAGGGGCGTGGCGGGTGGGAATGAGGAGGGAAGCAGGGGGCGGCAGCGAGGGGCAGGGGAGGGGCGTGGCGCTGAGCAGAGAGGAGGTGGCGATGGCTCGGCGGCTGCGGGTAATTGAAACGGAGAGTTTGGAGTTTGCAGACAGGATGGAGTGTGAGGGGAGTGATCTGGCGTGGGCCAAGGTGGAGATGAGCGTTCTATTGTTCGTGATTGAGCTTCACTCTGATGCTGCTGATGCTGCTGATGCTGCTGATGGTGCTGATAATGCTGATGATTCTGCTGCTGCTGCTTCTGTTGCTGCTGGTGGTGATGGTGGGATCAGTGGCAAAGCAGGTTGTCCAGATAGGCGTGTGTCAGAAGCTACAGACCAAGGGGCGGGGAGTGCTGCTATGTGTGCATCTTGTGTGGAGCTGGGCCGAGCAAAGAGTGCGGAAAGGGAGGCTCGCGTGTCGCAAGCGTGGATGCTGGTAAGCCGGGGTCAGATGCTTCCAGCAGGGCGCATGGAGATAGGCCCTCAGAGCGCTGCTGTAAACAGCAGAGCGATAGGCCCTCAGAGCGCTGCTGTAAACAGTGGAGAGAGCAGGTTCAGGGGCGTGGAGCGGCAGATGGTGGTGAATGAGTTGAGCAAGGCGGAGTTGATAGAGGTGGAGGAGCTTTGGGAGGGGGGTGACGTGCTGCGGAAGGGCTCGGAGCAGGTGTGGCGAGAGAGGCGGGCGGAGAGCAGCGGCATGGAGCAGAGGGACAGCAGGGGTGGTGAGCAGAAGGGGCGTGTGGAGTGGAAGGGGGCGGAGCAGCTGCGAGCAGAGCTGATGCTCGCTTACACCGGGCTGCAGGAGTCTCTGTGCTTGCTGCAGTGGGGGCAGCGCTGCCTGTTGCACTACCTGGAGGAGCATTTTTCAGCTGAGCCTCACAGCAATTGCCCCCGCCGCGAACCTGCTGCTCACACATCTCAGCCTGCTGCCAACGCAACAGCAGCGGCTACAGCGTCAACGGCTGCATTGACTTTTGAGTCGACTCAAAAGCCTGCTGCCAATGCAACAGCAGCGGCTACAGCGTCAACGGCTGCATTGGCCAGTCGTGCTGTCACAATATCAGCTGCAGCAGCAGCAGCTCTACAGGCGTGCAATCTCCCGCGCCGTCCCTCTCTCTTCTCCACCACAAGGCGGCTCTCTGGTGGTGGCGATGGGCTCGCAGGCTGGCCTCCCTGCTACCCGCCCTGCACCATCTCCACAACCACTCCATGCTTAAATCAGACTCCCACCTGCCCCACCTGCACGCCCTTTTCTCCCTCCTCTCCACCACCACCTTCCACCGCCGCATCCTCTCCTCCTCTTCCCCCTCCTGCCAGATCGATGACATGGGGTTGGCGTGGGCGCGTGGGGAGAAGGCTGAGAGGCTGTCCTCCACAGGGCGGAGCGGGAAGATGGAGGGGAAGCAAGCTGTAAAGGCGGTGAAAGGGGTGTGGGAGAAGGAGTTTGAGAAGCGATTGGAGGACACGAGGCGAGTGGTGTTTGATGGGGTTCAGCTGTGCTCCTCTGCACTCATAAGCTGCTCTGACAAGGTTGGTACCTTGTTAGTGTTAGCCTCAATCTCACACCTTGTGGTTTGTACTTTCTATATCCTAGCGTAGTGTAGTTTGCACTTAGTGTTTGGTTGGATGTACACCCACATCCAAACCAAACCCAAATGTGATGTCCAAGCAATCTCCAACCCACCAATTGGAGATTGCCTTGGGTTTACCCCAATCCCTAGAGATTGTCTTGGATTCCCTTCCCCATCCATTCCTTGCTCATCCTGGATGTACTTAAAGAGCTTCGAGCTCATTACTAATGTATAGATTCTTAGCTCAAGTTCCAACATACCCGTCTTGCTCTGTAGTCACTGCTCCAAGTTTTGAGTGTTCAGAAGGGCAGTCACGTATGGTGGATTATTGCCTGTATCTATAATCTAATGCCAATCTTTCTTTCACATAGAACTTTGGTTCATCCCTTTGTGCCGTATTGTACCTGCCCATAGTCCCCTTGTGTTCTTTCGGGGACGGTCTCAAACGGTCGTTTCCCAAACTCCTCCCATTCCTTTGCCGTCTGTGTTTGAACTGAATGTGGCTTTGGCAGGTCACTATGGCCACGTGCAAACATCACATGGCCACTGCTTCTGAACCACCGCTCTCTCTGCATCAGACACCCTTCCCATGCCCTTCTCTGCTCAGCCCCGTTCACACCCTCTTTTTCCTTTCTGAACCCTTCCTGTCGTTGCTCCCTGTCACCACACTTTCCTGCTCACGCTCTGCCTTCTTCCAGCCCTGTTCTCTCACTCCCACTCACAACCTCCTCACCTCCCTCCTCCTCCACCCCAGTCCTTCCTCCACGCACTCTCGCCTTCATGCCCGCCTCCACCTCACGCTCCTTCATCTCAAGGCTGCCCTCGCAGCCCTGCTGCTGCTGCCAGACAATCGGCTGGAGAAGCGCAAGTCGAGGGAGAAACAAGCTGCCAGTGCTGAGGAGGGGAGTGGCGGAGCTGGAGGGGTGGGGGGAAGTGGAAGCAGGGGCGGGTGTGGTGGAAGCTGTGGTGAGGGTGAAGGCAAAGCGGGCGTGGGATGCGAGAATGGAGTGGGTGTAGCCTGGACCGCGCATGGGGCAGCCGTGGGGAACACAGCAGGGCAACGTGTGGTTGGTGCAGTGCTGCATGGCGCATGTATGGAGGAGACTGCTGGGCTTTCAGAGAAAGAGGCGTGGGGCATCACACAGCTCCTGCTCGTGTCTACAGTCAACTCCTTTCCCGACCCTCGCAACCCTCCGTACTTCAAGCAACAGTTTGGCAGCTTGAAGGGAAATCCTCTCATGGCAACCTCTGTCAACGGCTTCTTTGAATCACTCAGCACGCGAGCACTGCTGTACCAGCAAGCGTCCAACATGTGGAACGTGCATGGAGATGCGGGACGGCAGGTTCCTGCCATCTGCCTTGCGTCATTGCTGCCTCCATCTCCTCCTCCATCTCCTCCTCTTGCTCTTCCCTGTCCTCCTCTTTCTGCTCCCTTCTATGCTGCCCCCCCAATCCTCCTCCCCGATCCTTTATCTGCGATCTTCAACCTCCTGGCACCTTTTGCTGTCCACCTCGCTCGGCTCCTCTCTCTGCTGCTCCCTGTCTTACGTGCTGGTGCAACGGAAAGGGAGGGTGAATTCATTGGGCGGGCTAGGCTGGAGCTGGTGCGTGCGGTAGAGGCAATGGGCATTGACATGGTTTGCCACTCACTCTCACATTATGAGAGCCACTGCTGCAATTGGGGAAAGGGCGGATGAGGATGGCCCGGTTATCAGTGGTGTGGCGTGCGCTTGAGAAGGCTGGTGGTAGTTATGGTTTGTTGCACCATGTTTCCCCGTATACACAACCCTAGGGTGCCTTTTAACCTTCGTATAGAAAACGAGTTGGGTGATAAAAGTGGGGAAGTACCGTACCAAGCACCTGGATGCCTTTATCTGATGCCTATGTAGGTTGAGTCTTGCTTGCTTGAGTTGAGGGTCCTCACCACTTCCAGTCCACAATCACATGGTACAAAGAAAAAGATCCATGTCATTCAGAAAATGCCCTCTGCTCAATCCTCCATTGCTAGTTGAGCCTTCTGCTCTTGCCTCACCACTATTGAACCCTCTCCGTTCCTGCCTCTCTACTTGAACCTTCCATTCTCGCCTCACCACTTGAACCCTCCGCACTCTCGTCTCTCGCCACTTGCACGCTCTGCTCCTGCCAGTTGCCCCTTCCCTGACGCGACTCGTTTTTATTAGAGGCACACGGTATTGGTACCTTCCTAGTGCGTAGTCAGACTAGTAATTGAGTGGAGTGGACCCTGCGGGAAAAAACGAATCCTTGATGGGAAAATACAGAAAGTACACGCTTGGAACTGATTCCAACATGCATGATGGCATTGACGGTGGCGCCAATCACACTAGCTCTTTTGGAAAAACTGTATCAGATTTGGATCTCTGAGTACTTCTCCCCTATCGCACCCGCCTTGTGCTTCTGGTCCTTTATATGGGCAAGCGTCGCCCGGTAGAAGCTGTGCACGGTGGCATCCACGGTGGCGCCATCCACAGCGAGCTCGGAGGTGATGAGCTCGATGAGGCCATTTGGGAAACGATCAAATCTGGATTTCAGCATACTTCTCCCCTATCGCACCCGCCTTGTGCTTCTGGTCCTTAATATGCGCAAGCGTCGCCCGGTAAAAGCTGTGCACGGTGGCATCGACGGTGGCGCCATCGACAGCGAGCTCGGAGGTGATGAGCTCGATGAGGCCTTGCAGCACCACGGGGGTCACATGGGGGTTGCCCTTGTCAAAGAAGTACAGGTATCTGGGGAGGGAGAGGGAAGGGTGGGGGAAACGGGAATTGTTGACTGCTGTTAAGCACACGCCCACCCACACACACACTTGACTACTGTTAAGCAAACACAAGCACATGCCATAGTACTCACTTGTTCAGAATCTCCAGCAGCAGCACCACGTGCGAGCCATGTTGGTTCTCAAAAGTCAAACCAACGTGCGAGCCATGTTGGTTCTCAAAAGTCAAACCAACGTGCGAGCCATGTTGGTTCTCAAAAGTCAAACCAACGTGCGAGCCATGTTGGTTCTCAAAATTCAAACCAACGTGCGAGCCAGGCACTCTGGCAGCAGCAGAGAGCTGTTGGGCCGCTGCATTGGCAATCTTGAGCGCTCGCTTTAGACACAACACCACCCGCACACATTGTTTATCATACGCACACACACACACTAACACGATGAGACTCACTTGTTGAGAATCTCCACCAGCAGCACCACGTGCGAACCGGGCACTCTGGCAGCGGCTGAGAGCTGCTGAGCTGCTGCGTTGGCAATCTTGAGCGCTCTCTTGAGACACAGCACCACCCTGGTGCATGGGGAGCAGCGGGTAAGATATAAGTAAGATTGGGATGCGCGGATGAGAATGATAGATGGGAGTGAATGCAGTGAATCTTGAGAGCACTCTAGCAGCAGAAGAGAGCTGCTGAGCCGCCGCATTGGCAATCTTGAGCGCTCTCTTGAGACACAGCACCACCCTGGTGCATGGGGAGCAGCGGGTAAGATAGAAGGGAGATTGATAGAATGATAGATGGGAGTGAAGGCAATGGACGGGTGGAGTGGAGAGCTCTAGCAGAGGCAGAGAGCTGTTGAGCTGCTGCAATGGTTGGCTACCTTGAGAGCTCGCTTCAGATACAACACCACCCTGTGCAGGGGAAGCAGCTAAGATAGATGGAAATTGGAATGTGCAGTTGAAAGACTGGCAAAGGGAGCAACGAAAGTGGCAATGCCTCGGAAAACGAAAGTGGAGCGTACTGATATGAACACTGAAAGGGGGGAGGAATTTGGGATGCTGGGATACTGAGAAAAATAGCAGCTAGTTTGAACTTGGGAAGGAGGAAGGAGCAAAGTTTGCATCTCACCTCTCGCCGTCTCTAGGGCCGTTCTCCTCGTCGCTCCAGAAGAGGTGTGCACAGGTGCACACAGCGCGACACTGGTCCGCTTTTGAGTAGGCGCAAAATTTACCTAGGAACCAGTTTGCATCTCACCTTTCGCCATCTCTAGGGTCGTTCTCCTCATCGCTCCAGAAGAGGTGTGCACAGGTGCACACAGCGCGACACTGGTCCGCTTTTGAGTAGGCGCAAAATTTACCTAGGAACCAGTTTGCATCTCACCTTTCGCCATCTCTAGGGCCGTTCTCCTCATCGCTCCAGAAGAGGTGTGCACAGGTGCACACAGCGCGACACTGGTCCGCTTTTGAGTAGGCGCAAAATTTACCTAGGAACCAGTTTGCATCTCACCTTTCGCCATCTCTAGGGCCGTTCTCCTCATCGCTCCAGAAGAGGTGTGCACAGGTGCACACAGCGCGACACTGGTCCGCTTTTGAGTAGGCGCAAAATTTACCTAGGAACCAGTTTGCATCTCACCTTTCGCCATCTCTAGGGCCGTTCTCCTCATCGCTCCAGAAGAGGTGTGCACAGGTGCACACAGCGCGACACTGGTCCGCTTTTGAGTAGGCGCAAAATTTACCTAGGAACCAGTTTGCATCTCACCTTTCGCCATCTCTAGGGCCGTTCTCCTCATCGCTCCAGAAGAGGTGTGCACAGGTGCACACAGCACGACACTGATCCGCTTTCTTTAGTAGCTTGGCCGAGTACTGGGGATGGCAGGGAGGAAAGGAGGAACAGAGGAAATGAGGGGGGTTCTCAAAGTGGAGACAGGAAGAGCAGGTGGGCAATGAACCACAGAGCATGAAACATACCTGGTAACTATACCTGGTGGTAACCCTATGTTGCAGTCCCATGTGGCAACCATGTGTGGTAAACCTATGTGGTAACCCTATATAGGACGAACCTGCAGTGGCCTTGTGAGTGAGGGCGATTCACCTCTGTAAACACGTGAGTGGCAGTGCTGCAGCGTTCCTGTGATGCGGTGCAGAGCGGTGACCTGCACCCTACTTGGTAACCAGACCTGCTGAACATACCTGGTATCTCTACATGGTAACACTATGTGGTAACCGTACGTACTCCAGTGGCCTTGTGTGTGAGCGTGTCTCTGTTCTCCTCTGCAAACACGTGGCAGCGCTGCAGCGTTCCAATGATCAGGTGCAGAGCGGTGACCTGTGCCTTGGAATCCTGGTGGAGGAGAGGTGCGGAGAGAGGAGAGAGGAGAGAGGAGAGAGGAGAGAGGAGAGAGGCGAGAAGAGAAGAGCAGAGGGGTGAGAGAGTTGTTAGAAAGTGAAAGTTTGTATCAATCAAGGAAAGAAGGGCACACATAGGTGGAAGCGAAGGCTGGAAGGGAAGAAGGTGGTTTGGGCAAAGGTTGGGATATCCAACCGCCATTGGTTGAATGTGAGTAGGGAGAAGGACGCACATACATAACATGCAGCTGTCAGATTTGTGTGATAAGTTGAGATTTGAGTGCATGTTATGAGGAGGAGATATCGGTGAGTGGCATGTTTTGAGTCGACTCAAAACTCGCCTTATCACATGTGAGCACGGAGAAAGAAGGACGCACATGCATAACATGCAGCTGTCAGATTTCCGCCATTGCTTGAATGTGAGGAACTCAGATCTCCATTCATAGATGACAAAGGTGAGGGTGAAGAGGTCATAGGCGATAGGCTCCAGGCCACACGCACACAGTCGCACACAGGCGTGCACACATCATCCCATGCATGCATTCTTACATGTGCACAGCACAGGCTACTGACCGATATCTCCTCCTCATAAATGACAAAGGCGAGGGTGAAGAGGTCATATGCGATGGGCTCCAGACCACACGCACTGGCCACCTGCGCGCACTCGAGGGCGAGCTTGAGGGCCAATGGAGGCACGAACTCTGACAGGGTCTCCACCACCTGGCATGTGGGTGCGGGTGGGGGTGTGGGGTGTGGGGTGTGGGGTGGGGTATGGAGTATGGGGTATGGGGTATGGGGTGTGGGGTATGGGGTATGGGGTGTGGGGTGTGGGGGAGGAGGGAAGAGAGCACTTATGGGGAAGCTCAAACAGAAGAGAGGCTGCTGTTGATAAGGATTTGAATCCTTTGGCATGGAAGCAGCAGCTGGGATTATTCTGTAGCAGATCGGAACTGTCGAGTGACGCAGATGGACAAAGGGACGCGAGAGAAAACCAACCTTGTGCAGGACGAGGAAGAGCGTGAGCGGAGTGACAGGCCCCTCCCCTGCTGCAAATTCACACGGTCGACCCCAAGGGCCACATGGTAGCAGAGCAAGCGTGCGCAACAAGCAAGGACAACAGACCTTGTGCAGGAAGAGGAAGAGCGTGAGCGGCGTGACAGGCCCCTTCCCCCCTGCTGCACTATTACACAGTCGAACCAAGGGCCACGTGCTAGCAGAGCAAGCAAGCAAGCGCAACAAACGAGCGTGACAGACCTTGTGCAGGAAGAGGAAGAGCGTGAGAGGAGTGACAGGCCCCTCCCCTGCTGCAGCAGCCGCCATTGCTGCTTGACTCGCCGCTGCCCCCGCTGTTGCCAGTGCCTGATCCGCCCCTGTGATGCCCTGAGATAGCAGCTGGTGCACCAACTGTGGAGGGAAGGAAACAAGAGCGCAGGGAAAGAAGCAGCAGCATGAGAGGAGGTCAGAGGGGTGAGAGTGTCTGCTTCTGCTGCAGCAGCCGCCATTGCTGCTTGACTCGCCGCTGCCCCCGCTGTTGCCAGTGCTTGATCCGCGCCTGTGATGCCCTGAGCTAGTAGCTGGTGCACCAGCTGTGATGGTGGGCAGGGATTGGAGAAGATTGAGAGGACGATATCTCAACAAAAGGGTGATGAACAGTTCCCTGCCTGCCCCAGCTGCTGCCAGTGCTTGATCCGCCTCTGTGATGCCCTGAGGTAACAGCTGGTGCAGCAGCTGTGATGGAGGGAAAACAGGAGTGAAAGAAGGAACTGAGCTCTTGAGATGTCCCAAAAACACACCAAGGGATGTGATGGTCAAGCGATAGAGATGAGGTAGTCCACGCATGCAGCAAATGGAGGCTCTGAATTGTAGTACTAGCGCACTGAACGACACTGATTTATGATGAATCAGCCATCCACTGTTTGCTGTTAAGAGGAAAAAACATCAGAACTCAGTGCTGGAACAATGTAAGTAATTTCAACAGTCTGCCCGGTTATATGCAAAATGAGGTGTCTTGCAGAAAGCTAAGGATACACCGTTGACGAGTGTACTTGCAAACTATAACGAGCATACCTGTAGCGAGCAGAAGACAAGTGAGGGGATGGTGAAGCGTAGTCTGGATTGGCCTCCCTTGAAGAGATGCGTTCGGATGATGGCTAGGATCTGACACGTGTAGGCAAGTGGAGGGAACAGAGAGGGAGCGATGTGTAAGACACAGTAGGCCACGCAGGCTGCAACAGAGAGAGGGAAAGTTGCAGCCTTCACTGGCCTCCTTGAAGAGATGCGTTCGGATGATGGCGGGGTGTGCGGGCAAGCAGAGGAAGGCATGAAACAGAGAGAAGGTGCAGGCTGGACGGATGAGGAAGGCATGAAACAGAGAGAAGGTGCAGGCTGGACGGATGAGGAAGGCATGAAACAGAGAGAAGGTGCAGGCTGGACGGATGAGGAAGGCATGAAACAGAGAGAAGGTGCAGGCTGGACGGATGAGGAAGGCATGAAACAGCACTTCATGTGGACGAGGCGGGATGGGGGCTGAGACGGGAGGAACTACGTTACTTCTTCTAGACTCACCTGGAACTGTATTCTCGGGTCGGGATTGACCAGCAGGTCCTCAGCTTCACTTGGAAGCTAAATGACATTGCCTCACTAAGGTGCAGTTGTAACTCACCTGGAACTGTATTCTCGGGTCGGGATTGACGAGCAGGTGCACGAGACGCGCCACGAGATTCTGCTCCTCAGAAAAGTCGTCCATGTCAAGCTGGAGGAGGGGGGGGTAAGAGAAGGAATAAAAAAGGGGATGAGGAGGAGAATCAGAGGAGGAGAAACAGAGAGCCGAAAAGAAGAAAGGAGGAGAGAAGGCGAACGGAGGTGGGCTCAGAGCACATGGAGCCATCACATTTTGCGTGTGATGAGTCGATTTTTGTTTTTGAGTCGACTTAAAAATCGACTCATCACACGTGGGTTCAGAGCACTTGGAGCCATCGCATTTTGCTCCTCTTAAGATTCGTTCATGTCGAGCTGGAAGGGCGAGGGGGAGTGGGGGGGAGAGCAAGTTTGAGAGAGAACAAATGGCAACGAGGTGTGAAATGGATTGGGAAAGGCACCAAGGCCGTGGGGTTGAGGAGGAGGAGGAGAAAGAACAAAGTACTGGATATGGCACATGAACAAAGAAGCTGCACATGCCCTCCCTCCCTTCGCCTTTTGAGATGACTCAAGAGGGGCCTCCGCCATGTCAAGAGTAAGTAAGCCATGCTCTCTCAACACTCCTCCTCTAGCACACGCCCTCCCTCCCAGCATCACATGCCCCACTCCTCACTTCCCAACACTGTGTGCCATTAATCGCGGGTCCTTACAGCAAGCTCACCTCGTCGACTGGAGGAACGCCGTCCATGTCTTGAGTGAGATGGCGCACGAGGCTGAGTAAGCACTCCACCTGAAAAGGGTCGGGTGGTGGGGGGGAGGGGCGGGAGGGGAGCAGAGGAGAGGAATGTGGTGAGATGGTGGACGAGGCTTGCAGAGAGCAACAAGAGCGAAGCGACCTCAATGCATGCACATGTAAATGACTTGAGACATTCAAATGGTGGCACACCACCCACTCACCTTCTCCGGGTCCCCAATTGTCGTCTCGTGTTTGACCATGTTCTGTATGATCACCACCGCCATGGCCTTATTGGTCCCGTGGTCCAGGTGCCCCATGACCCGCGCGTAGTCCCTCTGGAGTCTGGAATTCGTGCTGCAGAGGCACAACCCTGATCAGATCAGATCAGATCAGATCAGATCAGCCCTGAGCCCTCAACGCACCTTCTCAGGGTCTCCAATGGTTGTCTCGTGTTTGACCATATTTTGTATTAATAACCACCGCCATGGCTTTATTTGTTTCATGGTCCAGGTGCCCTATGACCCGCGCGTAATGCGGCAGGTGAGAAGCATATCAGCCCGTAACTCACCTTCTCTGGGTCTCCAATCGTGGTCTCATGCTTCACCATGTTCTGAATGATCACCACCGCCATTGCCTTATTCGTCTCATGGTCCAGGTGCCCCATGACCCGTGCGTAGTGTGGTAGCTGCAGCACCGTCAGCACGCCGCCCGGCCCAAACTTGTCCAGCGCTGCTGAGAGTAGCGCCACCAGCTGCTTTGTTGTCGGGCTGTCCTTGGTCTGCCTCCTCGCATCCAATATCCCCACACAAGCCGCCTGTTGGTTGGGATACAGACAGGGAAGTGGGTCGCAGGGGAGGGAGGCGGGAGAGGAGAGACAAAGGAAAGGAGGCGGGATAGAAAGGGGTTGTCTCGTGGCTTGTCTCGTGGTCAACATGAGCCATGAGCCATGACCAAAGCTGCCAAGCATGAGACAGCACCGTCAGCATGCGTTCACCAGCAGGATGCTGCCAAACAAACATCGGCAGGCAGAGTTAAAAGCACCAACGTTCACCAGCACTTGGTCTATGTAGTCGACGCGGCCGGGATGCACTCGCAGCATTCTCGGTTACTTGAAACACATTTACCACTTGGCTGAAGAGAGAACGCTGGTTGAATGCACACTGGTGCGGATGTGACGGCACACACTGGTGCGGATGTGACGGCACACACTGGTGCGGATGTGACGGCACACACTGGTGCGGATGTGACGGCACACACTGGTGCGGATGTGACGGCACACACTGCTGCGGATGTGACTGAAGGAGCGTCACCAGCACTTGGTCGATGTAGTCGAGTCTGTCGGGATGCACGCGCAGCACTCAAGCACTCTTAGTGCTGTCACGCACTCTTCATGTCAACTGAAGAGAAAACACTGCTGGGCGGTTCTTGAGACGCGTGAGCTCACCAGCACTTGGTCGATGTAGTCGAGGCGAGGCGATCGGGATGCACTCGCAGCACAAACTGCACTCTCGAGCACTTGCTGCTGTCACACACTTGGTAGAAAGGGCTTGAGTTGAGCTCACCAGCACTTGGTCGATGTAGTCGAGGCGGTCGGGATGCACGCGCAGCACAAACTGCAGGAGAGCCAGATGCAGGCTGACGACGCTCTTTAGAGGCATCTCCGCCTGCGCCTCCATCACCTGGTGGGGTTGGGGGAGGGCGTTCAAGGGAGGATGATGAGAGGGGTGAGGGGTGACACGCACGGCATGGAGCAGAGGCAGGTGGGAGGGAGCAGGAAAGGTGCAGGCGGACAACGCTCTTTAGAGGCATCTCCGCCTGCGCCTCCATCACCTTGTGGGGGAAAGGGTGGAAGGAGGTGAGGGTGAGTGGTAAAGGGTGTGAGTGAGAAACAGACACATGGCATCCAGCAGAGCAAGGTGCAGACTGACCACACCCTTTAGCAGCATCTCCGTCTGCTCCTCAATCACCTGATGAGGGAGGAAGAGGATGGGGGCGCGGGTGGTGAAGGGTGCGAGTGAGAACAGACGCATGGCGTGCAGCAGAGAGAGATGCAGGCTGACAACGCCCTTGAGAGGCATCTCCGCCTGTGCCTCCATCACCTGACGGGGGGGGGGAATGTGTGGGTGAGCGGTGAAGGGTGTGAGTGAGAACACATGCATGGCGTGCAGCAGCAGATGCAGGCTGACAACGCCTTTGAGCAGCCTCTCCGCCTGTGCCTCCATCACCTGATTGGGTTGGGGGAGGGCGTTCAATCAAGGGAGGATGAGAGGGGTGACACACATGGCATGGAGCAGAGGCAGGTGGGAGGGAGCACGGCAAGATGCAGGCTGACAACGCCTTTCAGCAGCCTCTCCGCCTGTGCCTCCATCCCCTGACGGGGGGAGGAAGGACGGGGGAAGGGGGGGCGCCGGTGGGATGGGTGGGAGTGAAAACAGACACTTTGCGTGCAGCAGAGTCAATTGTTCACTGGCGACGCCCTTTAGAGGCATCTCGGTCCGTGCCTCATCACCTGATGGGGGAAGGGGTCGGTTGAGAGAGAAAAGGAAACGGGTGACTGACACACATGGCATGGAGCACTGCACTGTCACCAACTCTACCCCCCTCAAAAACCCACCATGCCCCTTATTTCTCCAAGCCTCGCCTTGCTGACAGCAGAGTTGAGCTTGGCAAAAGAATCCACCTCCAGGGAATGACACCTAATTTGTGGCCAAACTTCCAGTCACCTAACAATTATAACAGCATTAACCGCCCTCCACAGTCCACAACCTTACCCCCCATTCCCCCAGCTTTCCTCACCTTGCTGACAGCGGAGTTGAACTTGGCAAAAGCATCCACCTCCAGGAAATGCGGCAAGGCCTGGTGATTACGGGGCAGCAGGGGAAGGAGAAAAAACAGACGCCAGATGAGGAGGTTGAAAATGCACGGGAATGAATGAAGCACCTTAACTGAACACTGTGCGGACATCCTCTGCGGTCTGTATGCCCAGAGGATGTGCGCTCAGGACACGCCCTCAGAGGGGGCTGCACATGGGGGGAGTGGCCCCAGGGGCCTACGAGCTATGCCCACAAACGTGCGCCTACACACTCACAAAAGGTGGAAAGGCACGCCCACTTCACTGCAGCTCAGGACACATATCCAGGCGTTTTGAGTCGACTCAAAACCCGCATATGTGCCTAGGAGCGGACGCGCACGGGAAACGGCCCCAGGGGACTACGAGCTAGACCCACAAATGTGCGCTTATATACTCAGATATGGGTTCTATTCATGAAGGTTGAGGGGCAGTCCATGAGTTGAGACATGTTGGTGTGCACGTCAGCACTCGGCTGCACTGCAGCTCAGGGCACGCCCCTAGGGAAGAGAGGAGTTTTGATCACACAGTGTAGGAGGACCACTGGGCAGGCCATCCACAGCGTAGGACCACTGGCCACTCACATCGCAGGGCTACCAGCACTCACATCCGGGTTCTTATCCATGAAGGTCGATAGGCGGGTCCATGAGTTGAGACATGATGGTTCGCACATCAACGCTGGGCTGCAGCTCGAGGCACGCCTCCAGGGAGGAGTGGACTCCACAGCATAAGGCCACTGCGCACACACATCACATCGCAAGGCTGCCTGTGCCACTCACATCAGGGTTCTTATCCATGAAGGTCGAAAGGCGGTCCATCAACTGAGACATGATGGTCCGCACGTCAACACTCGGCTGTAGCTCAGGGCACGCCCCCAGGAGCGTCTCGAGGGTGTTGAGATGGAAGTCGTCTGGGAAAACCTGGATGAGGCAGTCCATCAAATATTGCTGGGCTATCTCGTCCCTGCAGTTCACGATCTGGAAGGGAGGTCCGATGAGGAAGGGAACGAGAGAGGAAGGGAACGAGAGAGGAGGGGAGGGAGGATGAATGCAGTGCACGCACTCAGGGCACGCCCCCAGGAGCGTCTCAAGGGTGTTGAGATGGAAGTCGTCTGGGAACACCTGGATGAGGCAGTCCATTAGGTACTGCTGGCTATCTCGTCCCTGCTGTTCACGATCTGAGGGATGTGATAAGAGAGGGAGGGGAGGGGCGGGACAGAGACAGAGACAGAGACAGAGACAGAGACAGAGACAGAGACAGAGACAGAGACAGAGACAGAGACAGAGACAGAGACAGAGACAGAGACAGAGACAGAGACAGAGACAGAGACAGAGACAGAGACAGAGACAGAGCAGAGACAGAGACAGAGACAGAGACAGAGACAGAGACAGAGACAGAGACAGAGACAGAGACAGAGACAGAGACAGAGACAGAGACAGAGACAGAGACAGAGACAGAGACAGAGACAGAGACAGAGACAGAGACAGAGACAGAGACAGAGACAGAGACAGAGACAGAGACAGAGACAGAGACAGAGACAGAGACAGAGACAGAGACAGAGACAGAGACAGAGACAGAGACAGAGAGGACAGAGACAGAGACAGAGACAGAGACAGAGACAGAGACAGAGACAGAGACAGAGACAGAGACAGAGAAGGACAGAGACAGAGACAGAGACAGAGACAGAGACAGAGGACAGAGACAGAGTACAGAGACAGAGACAGAGACAGAGACAGAGACAGAGACAGGGGGATGACACAGTTTATTAGGTACTGCTCTGCTGGCTATCTTATCCCGGCGGGTTCACGATCCGAAAGAAAATACGGCAATATTCTCACACACGGTCATCATTCATAGTCATTTACCAACCCTTTTCATTACCTGCTCTACAGGAGGCAGCACTATTGTATATGTCCAGATTCACTGAATCTACGCTTTTCCGATGGTCAATCAGGAGGCTCACCTGCTCTAGGATGCGGCGGCAGCACTACAGTCTTGTACATGTCCAGATTCACCCCCTCCAGCTGACTCAGCAGATGCAGATTCTTGCCCACCTGCAGTGGGCAGACGAGGACGAGAAGGGCGAGTGGAGAAGGAGAGGTTCAGAAGAAGAAGAAGAAGAAGAAAAAAAAGGTACAGTAAATTACACTGGGAATTGGCAGACGCGACTTCTGAGACACCCTAAAACAAAAAATAGGGTGGTAAATTACATATATGGTTTGTAGAAGCAACTTTTGAGGATGCTCAAAAGATACAAAGAACGGTAAGGTAAATCACCTAGGCGGTTGGCATAAGCGATTTGAGAGGCCTCAAGGGCAAAAGAGCAAATCAGGAGAAGGGAAAAGCGAGTGGAGGCGAGGGTGGCAAAAGAAGGATGGGGGAAAAGGAGAGGGAGAGGGAAGAAACGCGAGGGAGATGTGAATTCAGTGTCGACTCAAAAGGAGAGACGTAATGGAATAGTTGGTGGACTCACCAAGTCTCTGAGCTCTCGCCGCTCCTGCTCGCGCTTCTCCCTCTCGGTGGCAGGCCCCTGGTGCTGCATGCGCACCCACAGCTTGTTCATCTCCGTGAAGTTCTGCAGCAGAAACTCCACTGCATCCACCACTGTGCCACCCTCGCTGCAGATACAGGGGGGTTAATGACAGTAGCAACAGAAAGGGGGGAATGCAGAATAGTGCTTAAAGTTCTGCAGTAGGAACTCCACTGCATCCACCACTATGCCTCCCTCGCTGCAGATACAGGGGGGACGTGAAGAGGGAAAGGGAAGGCGGGGGGAGGGGAGGGGTGCTTGAAGTTCTGCAGCAGGAACTCCACCGCATCCACCACTGTGCTGCCCTCGCTGCAGGGTCACAGACACAGGGGTGGTGATGGGAGAAAAAGAATGGGGAAGGAAGGGAGGTGGTGTTTAAGGTTCTGCAGTAGAAACTCGAACTCCACTGCACTGCATCCACCACTGTGCCGCCCTCGCTGCAGATACAGGGGGGTGGCAAAGGAAGAACCGGAAAGCGAAGGAGATTTCCCAACATAAGCCTACAACAACACAGCCCTTGCATTGCATTGCACACACCTCACTTAGCATTCCCAGTGAGCACGGCACGGCACGTCACGGCACGGCACGGCACGGCACACACCAAACCCCATTCATCCCTTGTTGTACCATGTCAGGTTCCGTACATACCCCTTCGTATTTGGAACCTGTGTCAGGAAACTTGTCTCTGGAGCACTGAGTGAGGCGCACTCTCAGGAAGAGCCCTCGAATGAGGTGCTGCTCGCCCTGGCACACCTCAATTCCCACTTCAAGTCACATTCACCCCTTGTTGCAAACGTACCCTTCATACTCCGACCCAGTATCGGGCAATTTATCTCGGCTGCACTGGGTGAGATGCGCCCTCAGGAACAGCCCGCGGATGGGGTGCTGCACGCCCTTGCACACCTCGCTCAGGTCGCTGAGTACCTCCTTAGCCGGCCCCTCCTTGCTGCGAATGTACACTGCCCCTACCGTGCACAGGAGATACCTGGGCCAGCGGAGGGAAGAATTGGGGGAAAGTGGGGGGGGGTCGGGGAGGAGGAAAGAAGAGTTCCAAAACATCTCGAAACTCACAATGCGCATGTAAACTCTTCCCACCAAGGCTTCCTTGACTCTCGAATGAATTCCGTTCCATTCATTGACTGTGGAGTCCGACGTTAAAAAAAAAAAAAAAAAAAAAAAAGACACACACACACAAACAAACAAACAAACAAACAAAATAACAAAAGAACTCACAGCCTTGGCACGATGTTGCCGGCGTGCTGCACGAGCTCATAGAGGTCCACACAGCTGCGGCCGCGCATCTTGTGCTCGTCCCAGAAGAAGGCCTCCAGGTTCTGCAGCTCGCCACACACCACTATGTCTGCCATGCCATGCACGCAGGGTTGGGGAACAGTGCGGATGCGGTGGACTTTGAGGCGCCTTAGAATGGGCAGTTTGAGCGTGCTCGTCCCACTCATCCCAGAAGAACGCCTCTAGGTTCTGCAGCTCGCCACACACCACTATGTCTGCCACGTAAAAAAGCGGGCATGGGCGCATGGACGCATGGTGGAGTGGAGTCATTGCTGAGAGTTGTCAAAAAAGGGAAGCATCGCACACACGTTTGCTAGGCATGGTCAAGGCGTGGTGGGAACGAATGTGGAAACGAAATGATTGACTCGGTACTAAAGAAGTCGGGACCAATAAACACTGCGGTTTTATAGAAATCAGTACTGAAGGAACCAGCACTGCACACGCAGTACGTACAGAGCTCGTAGTATTTCTGTGGTGCGAGCTTGGAGGTGCGGAGCTCAGAAAGCATTTGCGCTGAGTACTTGAGGGCCTCTCGTAGGTTGCCCGAGTCCTGAGAGTCAGCGAAGGCAGGCAGAGGAGGTGGCTGTTAGTCATTAGAGGGCAAGATAGAGGATAGAAGAGCATCTGTGCGGAGTACTTGAGGGCCTCTCGTAAATTACCCGAGTCCTGAGAATCAGTGAAGCAAGTGAAGGAAGGCAGGGGGAGGTGGTTGATGGTGTTAGGATAGGAAGGGGAAAAGGAGCATCTGTGCGGAAACATGAGAGGGGCTCGCTTTAATTGCCCGAGTCTGCTTGACAGCGTTGAGTGAGTCCGCCAGCCATCTCTGACATTACTATTTTAATTCAAAGATTGACTTGTGGTACGGGGTTCAAGAGTGGACTCACGAGTGCTCGGCGCATGTAGAAGGCCTGCTGCTTGACAACGTTGAGAGCATCCGCCAGCCATGAAGGATTGACATGACTCACTTGAGAGTTTGACTTGTGGTGAATCGCTCAACAGTGAACAGTTGACTCACGAGAGCTCGGCGCATGTAGAAGGCCTGCTGCTTGACCACGTTGAGTGCATCCGCCAGCCATTTCTCCTGCTCCTCTGCTGCACTCAGCTTCACCTCCACCACCTGAGAGACACACGGGGACAAAAAAAAAAAAAAGAGATTGTACGGAAACGGAATAGATTGTAGAGTAGAGCGCCCGCTGTTATAGCTGACGACATTGAGAGTTTGGACTTTGTAGTATCGGCCAGCCATTCCCCCTGCTCCTCCGCTGCGCTCAGCTTCACATCCATCCACCTGAGAGGCCCACGGAGACGGAATGACGTGTAACGGAGGCACAAGAGCGAGCGCAGAAACGACGCCGATTCAAAAGGTGCACGAAAGAGTCGAGCATGAGAAGATGCCGAACCAACGACCGACGGATGGCTTTTGAGGCGCCTCAAAATCCGCGTGTAGTGAGGTGCATTTTGAGGCGCCTCAAAATGCACCTCAAGAGGCACAATAGCGAACGCAGAAACGACGCCGATTCAAAGGTGCACGAAAGAGTCGAGCATGAGAAGATGCCGAACCAACGACCGACGGATGGCGCGAATGGCGAGACTGAACAGCAACAAATGAAAGCTGTTGTGAGTGAGCGAAGGCACGCCGTTTCTCTCTGACTTGATGCTTGATTCAATCACAAGAATCGGGGCTCTCAGGGGGACTCGATTCACAGGTAGTAGTTACTAGTTTTGAGACCAGATGTCGCACGACAGCTACTGCGAGTTCTGAGACGACTCAGAACGAGTCGCACGGCGATCAAATGACCAGATAACACTAATCGACGGTTTGCTGGCCTAGCCAATCCCACTGACGTCCAATCGCACCTTGTTCACCATGAGCGCGACTCGGGTTACGCGGGAGCTAGGTCGATTGGTCAACAGCCAAACTGACGGAAACGCGGCGGTTAGACGTAAGGACTAAAAATAGACCGCGAGAAACTGATAACGAATCGGCGAAGGAAAGGCGACTCGGGAACGAGGTGTGATAGAAGAAAACCAACTACTATACCACTCCAGCCCCCTAAAAATCGACGCTCGTTTTCTATGTTAGCGACTCGGTATCTGGATCAAGCAGCGTAAAATGCTAGGATCCAGTCGCAAGTGAGAGGCTAACACTGACAGAGGTTCATACCCAGCCAAGACAGGAAATGGCGGTGAAGTGCTGGGAGTCTGGGCCGGAGTTACCGAGGCTAAACCAGTTCTGAGCCCGTTTCCTCAAAGCGTGATGTCAATTCGGGTACAGCTCAAACTGGCACCAATCTGGAAAACTGGCACAAATTTGGCAGCCAAAAATACGACACTGACTGGTTGGAGTTGATACCAAAATGATCCGAAGAATGTCGAGATGGTCTGTGTGTCGCGTTTATAACGAACTGGAACTGCAATTGTGCTCAGAGAGTAATGTCGATTACGCCCGACTTCCAGCATCAGTGGAGTTCCAGCATCTGCATCCTTTCCCTCTTCTTCTTACTCGCACGAGGAGGTTAAAACGCGTACATCCCGTGATTTGAAGTTGTGTCAGCGCTTGGCGCCAAAACTTCAACGCGCTGCGACTGAGGCCGGATCATGGCCGCTGCACGGGTAAGGCGGCTTTCCTTTCATAGCCACTCCCGTTCGTTGTCTCCCGTCGTCTCCAGAACGATACTTCATAGCCTCGCGTGGCTCTTCACATAACAATGGTTCGCCACTTTTTGCGGACTTTATGAAACCCTAATCCTGGCAATTCTTCCCTTTCGGGGTTTTTTCCTCAAATTACCACTCGGTTTCCGAATCCTGCTTCTGAGACATTCGCGCTTTGACCGATCTTGATAGGGCACTGCTGTCAGCGTTCCAGAACCTTTCATGCCGTATTATGAGTAAATCAATCCTTTCTCATCGCCATGCACGATTATCATCCCACTTTAGCACCCCCCCCACCACGTGGATTCATCACCCCCGTAGTCCGTGAGGAGGGTTATCTTGAACAATCTCTTAGTTTTATTCTTTATCCCCGTTACCCCCCTCCCCATCCACCTCTCCTCAATTCCCAAACCCCCGGAACCCCCTCCCCTCCCCTCCCCCCCCCCCCCCCCTCCCCGTTCCCCCCTCACCAACTCCACTCACTTCCAACCACCCGCTCCCGCCATTTCCCCATCCCAGCGCGCGTTCGCCGGTCTGAAGCCAGAAAAGGTATCTGGGTGGCGAGTATTCGACGCTAAGGACCAGGTATGCTGTCACGGCTTGGGTACGCTAATGATATGCGCATAGGGCCAAGTCATCCCTGTATGAAGCTTGGTTGCCTTGCCGCCAGCCTTGCAGTGGTGCTTTTAGGAAAGGACAAGCCCATCTATGCTCCTTGCTGCGTGCATGCGTCCATACTCCCACCTATTCCCATTCACTCCCTGCCTTCCCACCTCTCGGATGTCTACCTCTCCTCCTCCCTGCTCCTCCTGCCTCCCTGCCATGCAGGTGCTTGGTCGCCTGGCCTCACGGCTGTCAGTGGTGCTGCAGGGGAAGGACAAGCCCATCTACTCGCCCAGCATTGACAAGGGCGACGTGTGCATTGTAGTGAACGCAGGTTGGTAACCCTCAGTTAATAATATCAAGGGGCTAGTTACCCCTTATGCAGGGGAAGGACAAGCCCCTCTATTCGCCCAGCATTGACAAGGGCGACGTGTGCATTGTAGTGAACGCAGGTTGGTAACCCTCAGTTAATAATATCAAGGGGCTAGTTACCCCTTATGCAGGGGAAGGACAAGCCCCTCTATTCGCCCAGCATTGACAAGGGCGACGTGTGCATTGTAGTGAACGCAGGTTGGTAACCCTCAGTTAATAATATCAAGGGCTAGTTACCCCTTATGCAGGGGAAGGACAAGCCCATCTACTCGCCCAGCATTGACAAGGGCGACGTCTGCATTGTGGTCAATGCAGGTTAGTAACCCTTTTGTAGCCTATGCTTAGAGGTTATTACTCCCTTACGCAAACATATACATGCAGCTTTGCCATGGCCAACTGTCACAAGTGAGATGTGTACGCACTGTCACGAGTTTGTCTACTTTTGAGTTGACTCATACGTTATGTCTGGTTGTTGGGTTGCATGTGATGGTCGTCCATGCATGAATCCATGTGTGAATGTATGTAATTATGTATGGGTCCATGCATGTATTCATGTGTGTGTGATGCATGTATCCATGTCTTGTGCGCCTATAAATTCCTGTGTGCATGTGTACCTGATTCTGTACAGATAAGATTGCAGTGACGGGTGACAAGATACGGCAGAAGACATACAGATGGCACACAGGGTGAGTGGGCGGCACACAGGGCAGCGTACAAGGTGAGTTGGGCGGCACACAGGGTGAGTTGGGCGGCACACAGGGTGAGTTGGGCGGCACACAGGGTGAGACGGATGGAGCACATAAGGTATTGGCGTTTGGATGGATCCATGCAAGTTCATCGGTCAGGTTCGGACTCAGAGCGCGCAACTCTCAACGACCAAATGCCATTTCTCAAGGACCCTGAGTGCCATTTCTATGTACGTCACATCCACCCACTCATGCACCGACTGACGCATCTCGTGAGCACGTATGCATCTTTGCATGCCCCTGCATGCATGCATGCATGCATTCATGCAGGATCACAGGTACATCAAATGGCAAAGGATGGTTGGTTACACGCATGTGCACGTCTCCATCATTCTCCCTTCCATACACAAACGCATACGCGTACATTGGAGGGCTGAAGGAGCGAACGCTCAAGGACCAAATGGCAATGCTCTGCATGACACATGCATGATGTATCCACCCCCCTTGCCTGTGTGTATGCACGTCCGTCCCCAGGTACATCGGAGGTCTAAAGGAGCGAACCCTCAAGGATCAGATGGCAAAGGATCCCAAGGAGGTCATTCGCAAAGCAGTGCTGCGCATGCTGCCCCGCAACCGACTCGTGGATGTGAGTGGCCTTTTTTTTTCCAACTCAAAAAACAGATTTTGCACTCGCTTCCCTGCAATTGACTCATGGATGTGAGTTGCTGCATATGGGAATTTTTTGGGTGGCAGGTTGACAGGTTGATGGGAGTTTCCTTATTTTCAGGGTCACAGTAAGTTGCCTCACCCGTTCGAGAACACACTTGTAATGGAGGAGGCAGGGCCTTCACATTCTCTCTTTCTCCCCCCGTCCTGTCCCCCCAGCCACGAATGACGAAGCTGAGGATATTCGAGGGGGGCAGTCACCCATTCGAGGACATTCCTGCGAGGGAGGAGGCGAAGCCTGCCCAGCTCCCTCACCTGCTCCCACCTCCCAGAACCGTACTCTACCCCCAACCATCACTCTTCCTTCTGCATGCCCCCCCTTCCCCCCAGCCGCGCATGACGAAGCTGAGAATATTTGAGGGGGACAGCCACCCATTCGGGGACATGCCTGTGAGGGAAGAGACAATGCCGCTAAGAAATGTGAGGGAGATGCGACCCAGGGAGAGGCGCGCTGCTGATAAAGCCGCTCGTGCTGCTGCTGCCAAGGGCCTAGGTTCAACTGAGCAAGCAGGAGCAGCAGGGGAAGCGTAGGCTGTTGAGTCAGACTCGTGGGTATGGCTTTAGGGAATGTGAGAGAGATGTGGCTCAGGGAGAGGCGCGCTGCTGATAAAGCTGGCCGCGCTGCTGCTGCCAAAGGGGCAAAGTTCGGTTGAGCAAGAAGCAGTGGTGGGGTACCTAAGTGCAGGCTTACTGTTCTCTTCAATGAGACATGTTTGAACTTTTAGGTAGAGCTTTGTGTCACAACATGTTTCGCTATAATACAGTACAGTACCACTGAAAGAGAAAGCAGTGCCTTGAGGGAGGCCACTCGCTAATAGAAATGGCTGCTTGCTAGTGACATAGTAGAATGGTTTGTTGTACACCTCTACCCCTTGAAAGTGAACATTTGTGGTTTCATACGGTACCTGATAGCATAGCAGCACAGCACGTACCGTATGTGAAGTGCCATAAGAAGCCAAGTGCATATACCGGTACCGTACCTTAGCACCAGCTCTATAGGGATGTGGTGTAGCATCCAGGGGTTCCTGGTGGGAGCCAGCCAGTATGAGTGCATGGGTTTCACAAATATGCACCAATATGCACTCAAGCTGGGACTAACTTTGACTTGTTTCAATCCTAGTGTGTGCTCTTACATTTGAAATATGACTACAGTAGTGTTCTCCAACTATCCCAATGCTTGCTACCCACAGGCTAGTTGTACTCAATATAAAATGAGGCTACCAATGCTGCCGGTATGCACAACAACACTCAAGTGAAATACACAGCTAATTGTCCTGACCCAAACCAGTAGTTTCCTCCATAATCCCAAGTCTCGGGCGTGCTTTCCCCCCAATTCACCACTCTGAACGGACCCTTCAGGAAATACACCCGAAAATACGAGTCACCCCAGGAGTGTGCCACCTGGACCGTGGCGGAAAATGGTTCACCGTCGTACACGGAGTGCTCGGACTTGATCACCATCACATTGTAACCCTCGTTCACGAAAATAATCACCAGAATTTTCGCAACCTCAGAGTCCTCCCAGCCTTCGACCACGCCCAGGTTCCCTGAAGCCACTGTATCCACCGTCACCCCCTCCCAGCTCATCACCTCCTGCTCCACCCTGCGCGGAGTTCCCAAGGCAGATCCGGCGGTGACGGCGGTTGCTGCGGTGGAGGATGACGTCTGCACCATGGGCCGTGCTGCGCTGGCGCTGGTGACGGCGAGGAGCACGAGGAGGGAGAGAGGCAGGAGCAGCTTGCGCGCTGCGCGCGGCCACGAGTTACTCGCCATCGTCGAGATGCCTTGGGATCGTCGCAGTAAATGCCGTACGGATGAGAGCAGGCCCGTTAATAGTGCTAAGGAAAAAGCCGTTAAATGGAAAGCCGGTTGAATTTACAATGATGGAAAAAGCAGTTGTTGAAGAGCTGATGGAAAACGAAATCTTTAACATCTGATTTATGGATCTCCGTTTTCAAGCCTAAATCTGACAGCAGCTCACTATCTGCTCGTGCCGCCATAGCCAGAGGGATGTGTTTCGGATTCAGCCGCGAAGCACGCGTGAAGGTTGTCACTTCCATGGCAGGTGTGAACTGGAAGCTCGAGCGTAGAAGGCACGCGAGCGTAGAAGGCAACGCTAGGTCACGGGAAATAAAACTGGTACGGACTGACTTCAACAATTGGCAAAGGAGGAGGAGGCGAGTGGAAAGCAGTCGGGAGGGACCGCAGCGCTGCTGGCGACTTTGACGATCTTCGTGAACTCGTGTAACACACGTAGCTGTACAGCTCGAAGGGTGGGTCGCAGCCGCTGCGATTCGCAAAAGGTACCGAACACAATGGTTTGGCGAGAGCCCTGGGATAAGGGCGTGGAACACCTCGAGTTTTTCAAAACGAACGGTACGGTTCGGATGGGTACCGCTCGGATGAGTACCGGTCTGAAACACACTAAAACTTACTTCAGCGTACCGTTTACAAAATTTACCATTTTCAAATTGTGTGGCCTAAAATCTATCTTAACAGCCTCTGATTGGCTAACTCATCCTCCACTCGCTTCCTCCTAATGGCGTCTGCTCGGAGTGTAGCCGAATTCACGATGTATGAGTAAGTTTTTTAGACGTCTCAAAAACGCTTTTTCCAATGGCGTGCGAGGACCAGAAGTGGAGCCGAAATCGTGACGACAGTTACCACTCGAACCCAGCTTGCGAGATCGAGCCGTAATCGCACGCGTGGCGCAGAGCGACCAGCCTCTCATGCGACCCGAGCGACCAGCCTCTCATGCGACCGAGCGACCAGCCTCTGGTGCGACCGAGCGACCAACCTATCATGCGACCGAGCGACCAACCTATCATGCGACTGCAGCAGACAGTTCCAGGTTCGCGTTTGCGACGAATGAAACAGGAACCTTACCGAACTGGAGCGAGCGCGAGCGCGAGAGGGAGGGTCAACTATACGCGTCTGTTACTGCTTCTCTTCCACCGGTTAGGTTGAATGCGGAGCAGTCGGGTGGACTGGTGCGCCGGGGAGTGGAAGGCGTAGAAGACGGAGCGGCTCGTGCTGCGTCAGCTGGGCTGAACGAGAAATGGCTCATGGCAGCGCTGATGGCGGAGGGATTGAATGCGGTTCAGTCAGGTGCAATAGAGCAAGTGCAAGAAGGTGGAGAGGGATTGAGTGCGGTGCAGTCAGGTGGAACCGAGCGATGGCTTATGGCTGCAGTGATGGCGGAGGGATTGGCTGCTCCGATTGGTTCCTTGGGTTGCGAATCTGGACTGCCGGTTCTAGGTGGTCAACACGGTCAACACGGTCGACGCAATCCAGATTTGAGGAGTCAATGCAATCAACGCAGTCCAGTGTTGGAGAGTCAACGCGGTCAACACAGTCCAGCATTGGAAGGTCAACATGGTCAACGCAGTCCAAGTAGTCACGTCGTGGCCATGGGCCTGGGCCAGACTCACGTTCCCCCTCCCACACACGCTGCCCCATCTCCCTTGCACGCTCGTTCCCACACTCTCCCTCACCCTCTCACTCCTCCATCCACCCCTTCTTGTCTTTCCACAACCACAGCAATCCATGCAAAGCCTAGTTCCAGTCAGCCTTTTGAGGCTCTTAAGTTCACAAACCCTAATTCCACTCAACCCATTTTCAGAAATCCCTCCAACTCCACGAACCGTCCATTTAACCATCCGTCCATCCATTCATCTAACCATCCATCCAACCCTCCATCCAACCGTCCATTCACCCTTCATCCAACCCTCCATCCAACCAGCCTTTGAAAGAACCCCTTTCGCACGCTCCCCCTGATCACCGTATATCCCTCAGCCCGTTACATCCTCGTGACAGTAAAGAAGGTTGGCAGGCTTGGTGATGACAGGCTCGGGATGGACAGGCTCGGCACGGACAGGCTTGGCATGGAAAGGCTTGGCAGGGGCAGGCTCGGCCAGGAGAGGCAGCACAATGAGAGTGAGGAGCCGAGGCTCGAGGGTAACCCATCAGCCCATTGTGGCTCTACTTCCTCTTGTGTGTCGGCTGCTATTGGTGCACAGCGGTATGATGTCCCCATGACTGCTGCACGCCCACGTGATATTCCCATGGGTACACACCCACGTGGTACCCCCATGGGTACACACCCACGTGGTCGTGGTTCCCCCATGGCCATGGGTGCAGCTGCACATGTAAGGGGTGGGGCATGGTAATAGTGATTGAAACCAGAGGTGATACAACCGAGTGTGGGAGAAACGAGGGAGACTTGAAGGCTTGTGATACAAGAGGGGCCCGCGGTGATGCTGAGGAGGATGTGACTGCAGACCAAGTGCCTCTGCCCAACCATCCAGGTGAGATAGCTTGCCATTTTCGTTATAAGCACATGCCAGTCTCGGTCTATTCTCCTGTGGTTTCACTTGAAGCAGACACGGACTCAGGGCCAATGTATCTGTAAAATCAGTCTTGGCAAATAGTAAGCTTGCTGCTCGGTCATTGCAGGGAGTTTTTGAGAATTCTCAAAGGCTGCAAAGTGAGCTTGCAAATTCTTGGCAATAGTGAGCTTGCAAATTCTTGGCAATAGTGAGATTGCTGCTTGGTCGTTCTCCCCCAGGCTGGCTCACGCCCAAGAGGCACAAGACTCTCAAGGAGGAGTTGCTTAAGCTCAAGCAGCCGATGGAGCGAGAGTATGAGGTGGGGAGGGCGCCTCCGTGCCTCCATGCCTCCAGTCTGTGTTATTTGCTGCTACGTGCTGTTCTTTCTCCCCCTCTCAGGCTGGCTCACCACGAAGAGGCGCAAGAGCTGCAAGGAGGAGCTGATGGAGCTAGAACTGGCAATGGAGCGAGAGAGTATGAGGCGGGGAAGGATGTTGCTTACTTGACTCCATGCTTCCCTCCATGCCATGTCTTTGTGCCTTTCTGGATGTCATTCTTTCAGGCTGGCTCACCACCAAGAGGCGCAAGACCCTCAAGGAGGAGTTGATAGAGGTTGAGCTGGCAATGGAGCGAGAGTATGAGGCGGGGAAGAGGCAGCAAAAGGGAGCGGGGGGAGAGAGGGAAGAGGGCAACGCACACAATAAGATGAAGAGGGAAAGAAACTGGGAGTCAGGGAGTGAAGGAGGGAGGGCAAAGTGTGGAAGTACAAGAAAGGGGAGAGAGAGGAGGGATGAGGGACGGAGGGGCAGGGGTTGAGGGGGAGGTGATAGATGAAGAGGAGGAGGGTGGAGGAGAGGGAGTGGAGGGAGAGGGGAGAGAGGGGAGAGTTGCGGCAGTCTGGTGGTGATACTGTGGGGGACATGGAGAGGGAGATGGAGAGGGAAAGGGAGAGGGAGAGAAGGGAGAGAGAGAGGGAGAGGGAGACAGAACGAGAGCGTGAGCAGGAGAGGGAATGGGCAAGGGAGGTGGAGAGGGAGAGGCAAAGGGAATGGCAAACCCAGTGGCGGCAGCAACAGGAGCAGGAGGAACAGGAGGAGCAGCAGAGGCGGCAGCGTCGGCGGCACTTGCGGCGGGGAGGGAGAGCTGAGGCGTTTGGGCTTGAAGAGGACGATTTCATTGACCAGGTGTGTTGTCAGGTTGGGATAAGTTCTGAGAGTTCTCAAAAGAAATCACGGCAGGGATGGGGAGTTGAGGCGTTTGGGCTTGACCAGGTGCTGTTGAATTGCTGCACCCTTCCTAACCCCATCAGTTCGTATTTTCATCCACTGCTGCGTCACTTCTCCCTCATACCCTCCTTTCCCCCACACCCCCCCCTCCCCTCCCCTTCCCCTGTGCTCCCCCACCCAAACTCCCAACACCCCCTCCCCCCCCTTCCCCTGTGCTCCCCCTCTCTGCCCTCGCTCCCTCTCTCCCTCTCTCTCCCTCTCCCGTTCCACCTCCTCCATTCCTTGTTACCGTACCCTCCTTCCTATGTGCAACTTTTCGAAAGCATGCTCCTCTTAACACATTGCGCTTATCACTTTTTTGTTCTTGTGGACAGATGGTCCCAGAGGATTGATCACCTGACAATGGTCACACGATAAGAAACAATAAGTACCGGTAATGAATCGGGGTCATCTGGTTGTCCTAGATGCGAATGAAAATCTGTTTTGCCTGCTGCTAGCGTTTCGGTGACTTGAAATTCGATTATTTTTTAATGTGGTGGTGCTTGTTCAACACATCTCAAAGACAAGTGTGGTGAATTGTAGAGAAAGTAGATTTCACAAAGTACTTTTATCTCGCTGCAGTAAGCCAGTCTCAACAGTTTGAAGCAACCGTACGCGTTAACGAGGCAAACTACTACCCTTCCAAAACCTTGAGGCTGCCGTAGTTTTGAAGCAACACCACACCACTCAAGCTAATCATTAGTACGTTGGTGGTAAGGCCGACCACGCGCGTCGCGATAGCACGTGCAAGCACACTTGAAGGCTGGCAGCTAATGAAAGCTTAATTGCGGATATCCGATCGCCGTTACGCACGCCGTCCCAGTTTTCGGTCTCCTGACGGAGTTCGTTAAACGCTAAGAGAGCTGTCGTTAGTTCGCTTCTTTCCCCACGCGATCGTTATCGCAGTTCCATCGTCGCGCGACTGCTCAACCATCGCGAGGCTGCTAAGCCGTCGCAGTGCTTTATAGAAAACGTCGCGAGGCTCTTAACCGCAGCTGCCGCATCGATCGCAACCTTAGTTTCAGTCGCTTCGAAAAGGGATCGAAGCTACAGCAGCCGCAGCTGTTTCGTAGAAAAACCCTTCAGACTGCATCCGCCTGGCGCGAGGTTGCCTGGGTGACTTCTGGGTCGACTCGGTTCGCTGTACCCGCACTGCATTTCCCGGCCGCGAGAGCTAGATCGCGAGAGTGTGACTAGAGTGTGACGAGAGTGTTACGAGAGTGTGACGCCGTAAAAGAACACGTGGCGAGGGTGACGTGGCGAGCACGAGGTCGCGATGGTGTGGTGCAGCTACTGCGGGCGCGACCAGCAGGCGGAGGTCGACGAGGCCAATGGCTTCTCGTACGTTCCTTCATTCTTGCGCTCTCCACTCTGCCCATTTGCGTGTATCTCTCCTCGCCTTTCTGCCAGTCTCTGTTGAATGTTGAGTCGACTTAAAGCGCGACCAGCAGGCGGAGGTCGACGAGGCCAATGGCTTCTCGTACGTTCCTTCCTTCCTGCGCATCTATTGAGGCGCTTCAAGGTTCAAACAATCTGATCCTTCTTCCTGCGAATTTTAGTTTGTTGGTTCACAATTCGCGTCCACGCGCTCCCACCTTAACCAACCCACGGCTCATGTGCTCCCTTCTCCGCCTGCTTGTGTGCCCGCCCTTCTGTCGGACTTGCTGCCTGTCTTTCTCCCCACTACCACAGCTGCTGCACGGGGTGTGGGCGAGTGCTGGACGATACCGTCTACTCGTCCGACACAGTCTTCATGAAACAATCCGATGGCTCTGTAAGCTGAGCGAGAAACGCAATAACGAGTACAGGGTCATGATTATGAGACGGAATGATTCAGTGTCTCGCGCCTTCTCCCTGGTCTTTCATTCCCAACCCACCAATCTGCTTTAAAGCAATCTTCCTCACTTATTCATCTATTGCCCTGTGTTTTTCGCCCCTTCTATTTCCCTCTGTTTCAGAGCATGGCCATGGGAAGCTTCGTGGCAGATGCAGGAGGAGGCGGGCCGGTGGTGCGACTGGGAGGAGCCAGGGGGTTCGCCTTTGGGGGCTCGTCAGAGTCACATGAGCGCACAGTCATGAGAGGTGGGTGTGATGCAACGGATGTTGTTTCAACCTCCCACTCCTCTTCCTTCACCCTTCACTCACCTCCTCCACTGCTATCCCATTCCTCTCTACCCCTTGCTGCTGCCACTTGCTTGAGCAGAACAGAGCTTACCCCCGCCAACCCAATCCCCTGACTCCCCAACCAATCACGTTCTCTCTAACCCCCCTTGCAGGGCGCAATGAGATTGCAGAGATAGCAGAGCGGCTGGCCGTGCGACCTCGAGAAAGACATGATAGGGTCGGCGCACCGGCTGTACCAGGTACTGAACCCGAAATTATTGTAAACCCTCGTAAGCCCTCATAAACCCTCATTAGCCTCATAAGCTCTCGTAAAACCTCATTAGCCTCATAAGCTCTCGTAAACTCTCATTAGCCTCGTAAGCTCTCGTAAACCCTCATTAGCCCTCATAAACCCCTCTGAAACATTGAGCCCTGAAACAGCTTGTGCAGAAAATCAGCAGGCATGGGAGCATGCATGTCCAGTGCACCACACCACCACACATGCCACACACACATATATATGCACGCGCGCTCCAATGCACATGTCCACATGCATACACTTAGACGTCCTCCCCATTCCCCGTCTACTTCTGCTCCGCTTTTCCTAATCCTTAACCCCCCTTTGACTGCCCCCAGCTGGCTCTGAATCGCAACTTCACAAGAGGAAGGCGAGTAGCGCAGGTGGCAGCGGCGTGCCTCTACCTTGCGTGCAGGTGAGCTCGCGTGCCTGAACAGGTGCCTGAACAAGGTGAAATATATATTTCTTGGTTTGACTGGTGCAGGTGGCAGCTGCATGCCTCTACCTTGCCAGCCGGTGGGCTTGCATCTGATGCTGCTGCAGTTTTTTCTTGAGTTGATTCGAGTCTGGGTTTATTCTCCTCGATGGCGATCACTTTGAGATTCCTAATTGTTACCCTGTTTTAGGCGCCTGCAGTGATCTATTGACGCTCCTCAAGAATCACCTTTTGAGATGCCTCAGTTCCGTTGTATCATGTCATGCAACAAGTTAACGTCAAAGCCCAAATCTCTTGCCACATTTTCATCGACTACAATTCTCGAGTCGATCCACACATTTCTAGTCTACTAAATAATTGTCTTGTTCTGTGCTATGCCACTTATCCACTTATACTCGCTGGCAGGCAGGAGAAGAAGCCCTTTCTGCTGATCGACTTTGCTGACTTGCTGCAGATCAACGTGTAAGTGTGCCTCTCTCTCCACCCTCTCATCACCCTCTCACCACCCTCTCACCACCTTCTCATATCCTAGTTTTTAGACCAGTGCGTCTCAAGCCTCTTCACGTCACCCCCTGAACGACCCCTAATGTTTTCCCTCCCTCTCTCTCATTTCACTCTCTCAGGTATGTACTAGGGGCGGTGTATCTGCAGCTGCTGCTGGTGCTGCGACTGGAGAACCACGAGCCGCTACAGGCACCACTGGACCCCTCTCTCTTCATCCACCGATTCGCCGACCGTAAGCGTTTCTCTCCTCTTTCGCTGGTTCACTTCTCCATCTATGTACTGGGGTGGGGCACTGTTGGTGCTGCGACTGGAGAACCACGAGCCGTTACAAGCACCTTTGGAACCTTCCCTCTTCATCCACCAATTCGCCGACCGTAAGTGTGCTCCTGAGTCGCACCAAGAGTCATCCCGCTACCCGCACCACTGATTCAATCCCTCTTCATCCACCAATCCGCCGACCTTAAGTGTGCGTCTGAGTTGACTCAAAAGCAGGAAACCCCTGCGGACAGGCACCACTGGACCCTTCCCTCTTCATCCACCGGTTCACTGACCGTAAGTGTGGTCTGTTGTAGCGTAGCGGCAATTCCTGTACCACTAATCACGCACCCTCATCCGATGACTGGTACCAGTCAGCACCCTCACACAAGCATCTGGTATTTGCACTCCACATTAGCACCGCCAACCTCATGACACTGTATGCAGAGATATTGGAATGTCGTGTTTCTTATGCTTTCCAGTGGTATTGTACTGCCCCAATGATCTTATGTAAGTTTATTGATGCAGTCAGTTTTGTTTCTAATGTGGTGCCCCAGCAGTCTGGGGTTCGATTCCCGCTGAGGTCTAATTTGCACTCTACCAGATGTCACCAACTCCCAGTATGGGAGTGTGCATTTGTATGGTCCGCAATGGTCTGATCCAAGTGATCCTCTTCCTGTTCTACAATCAACATTTTCAGTTTGTTGTATTGTGCGGTGTGGCATGGCATGGGCATGGGTATTGCATGGGCATGGGTATGAGCATGGGTATTGCATGTGCATGGGATGCGCACCGGGTATGGGCATTCTTTTGCACAATACCAGGCCTCAACTTTGGGCGCAAGATGCATGCAGTGGCCAACACGGCTCTGCGCCTTGTTGCCTCCATGAAGCGCGATTGGATCCAGGTGAGGGGGGGGTGAAGGGGTTGGGAGGGGAGGGGAGGGGAGGGAAGGGGTAGGGCGGAAAGGGAAAGGGGTGCATGGTACTGTTCTGTGGAAGCTCAAGAGGCATGCAGTGGCCAGCACGGCTCTGCGCCTCGTTGCCTCCATGAAGCGCGACTGGATCCAGGTGAGGGGAGGGGGGAGAAGGGGGTGAATGTAGGGAACGTGAGGTTTTTTTTTTTTTTCCATGCCATCATACTTTTCTAAATAACGAATTAGGTACAAGCGAGTCGTGGAGCTCAATTCTACAATTTCTGGATATCATCCCTCTTCTCTCTCCATCACCCCAGCATTCCTATTGAGGATTGAACCCTGGACCTCCGCTATGACATTAGAAGAGCTAACCAACTAGAACATGATGAGTGTCTGCTAAAATCGATGCAATACCTTGAGAACTCTGCTTCACAACACACCATTCGCCCACCCATTTTCCCGCATCTCTACTCTACGGCCTTCCCTCCCGACCTCCCTTCTAGACGAGTTGCAAGCCCAGCGGGGTGTGTGGGGCGGGGGAACACAGTTCACGGTCACCCCCTCTTTTCTTTCCACTACACACACGTCTACATCCCTTCCGTCTCTCTCCCCACCTCCCATGATCCCCTTCAGACCGGTCGCAAGCCCAATGGGGTGTGTGGGGGCGGCGCTGCTGATAGCTGCACACATTCACGGCTTTGAGCGATCCAAGTCGGATGTGGTGGGTTTGGGGACGGATGGTGTGCGGATGGGTGGGTGTGTGGAGAGATGTGTGGGTGGATGGGTGGTGATTGCTGGGCGGTTGAGGGGTGTTGTAGTTGCGTTGCCTTCTGATAGCGGCACACATACACGGCTTTGAGCGATCCAAGTCGGAGAGGTGGTTGGGGTGGGGGAGTGGTTGGATAGATGTGTGGCCTGGTTGGGAGTGAGTAATGCGGCCGAGTCGAAGTTTTGATGGGGCAATTATGGGTGGATTGAAGAAAGCAAGGTTGTTTTGCACTCTGGGTGCAAGGTACAGGTACTTATGTGCTGGCTAGCTCTAAAAGTGTGTGAGTGTGAGTGTGAGTGTGTGTGTGTGTGTGTGTATAGGTGTGTGTGTGTGTGTGTGAGTGTGTGTGTGTCTGTGTGGTGTGAGTGTGTGTGTGTGTGTGAGCGTGTGTGTGAGCGTGTGTGTGTGTGTGTGTGTGTGTGTGTGTGTGAGTGTGTGTGTCTGTGTGTGTGAGTGTGTGTGTGTGTGTGAGCGTGTGTATGAGCGTGTTTGTGTGTGTGTGTGTGTGTGTGTGTGTGTGCGCGCGCGCGTGTGTGTGTGTGTGTGATTCTACCTGTGTGTGGCTTTACAACTTGCAGTGGGGTGTGCGTATGTAAGTGTGACTTTACATGGTGGGGTAGGTGGCAGTGGCGCATGTGTGTGAACAGACTGTGCGTCACCACCTGACTTGCACTGCACTGCACTGCACTCTCCCCTACTCTCCCTCGTTCTCTCTTGTGTCTCCCTCCCTCCCTCACGCTGCGTGCAGGTGGCAGTGGTGCATGTGTGTGAGCAGACAGTGCGGCACCGACTGCATGAGTTTGAGGGCACAGAGGCAGGCGGGCTCACTGTAAGTCGGTGACGCACTGCCCCCTCTCCTCTCCCATTTTTTGTTCGCAAGAGTTTGCGGGCACCGAGGCAGGCGGGCTCACTGTAAGTTCCTCCTCTTACGCTCTCTTACGCCCCATGTTTCTTTGAAGGCTGCTTATTGATCACATCCCTATTCTCCAACCTCCCTGCTTCCCCCCCATCCTTTTGTTTTGGTCTCAGTCACCCTTTTCCACGCACCATGCCAATTTCTCCCTCCTCACTCCATCCTCTACCAAACCCCCTGAATTCCAACTCTTGTACCCACGCGAGATTCAGACATGATGCTGCAGGGTGTTTTGAGAATTCTCAAAAACATCAAACCCCTTGAACCCCAACTCTTGTACCCAGCCGGTTGATCGAAGTGGGACAAGCTTCTCTTTTCCACCAGCCGCCTACCAACACGCTCCATGTGATATGCTCCCTCCTCTCTCCCCACCCCTTCTGACCCCTCCAACTTCCTTCCGTCACCTCCTTTCCCTAGCCTGAGGAATTCGAGGAGAAGGCCAAGGAGTGGGACGAGCTGCTCTTTCCACCCAGGCCGCCCACTCACCCACACGCATGCGCCATGCCATTTGCTGTCCTCAATCCTCCCCTTTCTCCCCCCCGACCCCCTCCAAACTCCTTTCAGCCGGAGGAATTCGAAGAGAAGGCCAAGGAGTGGGACGAGCTTCTTTTCTCCACCCAGCCACCCACCCCTGCTCTCGTTGCTCCTGCCTCTTCCCTCGCCCCTGCTGCGGCTGCCCTCGCTACCAAGGGCAAACAGGGGAAGGGGAAAGCAGGGGGAGCAGCAGGGGGAGGGGCGAGGGGAGGCGCAGGGGTTATGGGGATCCGGGTGGTGGGGAAGATGGGGAGGGGGAGGCGGGGGAGGGGGGAGCGGGGGAGGTGGAGCAGGGGGAAGAGGAGGGGGGAGTGGTGGCGAATGGGGGGTGGGGGCGGGGGGTGGGGGGGAAGTGGGGGAGGTGTATTTGACTCAGTGCCAGCATAAGGATGCTGGGGCGGCTCATTTTGCACATGGGCTCTGCAGGCCGTGCTATGACATGGTACGGAGCGGTGTAGTGTGGTACCAGTACGGTATGGTATGGTATGGTATGGTATGGTATGGTATGGTATGGTATGGTATGGTACGGTATGGTTTGGTATGGTGTACTGCTACTGATGATACAGTGCCAGCATGACGAGGCTGGGGCGGCTCATTCCTCCCATGGGCTCTGCAGCCGTGCTATGACATGGTTTCGTGCTGTGGCATGAATGTGCTGCGTGTGAGCTGTGCTCTGATATGCACCCCTACCACGCATCATGCCGTGAGGTGTGATTTGAGGCGCCTCAAAATATGTGCTGTGGCATGAATATGCTGCGTGTGAGCTGTTCTCTGATATGTACCCACCACGCGGTAACTTTTGAGTCGACTCAAAAGCCACCTTGCTGCGGCATGACTGTGTTGCGTGTGGGCTGTGTGAAGTGAGGGTGTTTTTGAGACGTCTCAAAAACACCCTCACTTGCTGTGGCATGACTGTGTTGCGTGTGAGCTGTGCTCCGATATGTACCCCTACCACGCATCATGCCGTGAGGTGTGATTTGAGGCGCCTCAAAATATGTGCTGTGGCACGAATATGCTGCGTGTGAGCTGTTCTCTGATATGTATCCACCACGCATCATGCCATCACATCACATCCCATCCTCCCATCCTCCCTTTCCCCCTTTCCCCCAGCTGGCGGCGGACGAGCGGAGGTTTGGTAGGGGGAGCCAACCCGCCTGCATGGGGGCGGGGGGAGAGGGAGCAGCGCAAAGCAGAGCTGAGGAGGCGGAGAAGCCGCCTCACTGTGTACAGCGTGTTTGGGCAGGAGGAGCGGGAGGAGGGGGATGGATATGGAGAAGGGGAGGAGTGGGGAGTTGGAAGGGAAGTTATGGCTGTTGGCCAGAAGGGAAGGGTGGAGGTGCGGGTGTGGCGGTGGCGGCAGGGAAAGGGGTGGTTGCTGCGAAAGCGGGAGGGAAGGGAGGGAAAGTGGGGAGGGATGGGGTGTCGAAGCGCGAGAGAGCAAGGCAGAGGATTGAGAAGGTGAGCGCATTTCATCTCTCCAGAGTTCCCTGAACGTAGCTACTTGTTTCAGGATCGCCAAGTGATAAAAGTAGCGTTTTGAGACGTCTCAAAATTCATCACTCCAGAGTTTCCTGCATGTAGCTACTTGTTTCAGGAAGGATCTACGCACGATATTTTATGTGTTCAATGAATGTTCCTGAAGTCAAGTGGAGAGCTAATCTCATCGTACCACGCTCCATTCCTTTCATCCCTCTCCACCCTCCACAACCCTCTCCATCCCACTTGACCGACAGGATCTAGATGCAGCTCTGCACCGAGCTGAAATTGCTCCCCTCGTGGTCCACACGCTTCCAGACTCACTGGACCTGCCGAACCAGATACCCTAGGCTCGGTCAGGCGTGACGGTCTAGGTCCGGCAAGGCATAGATCCGAGCCTGGTGGATGACCCCGATCCAGATTTCTTGGCTGGGGAAGAGGGTGGGATGGGCGGGCGGAGGGAGGTTCGGGGGAAGCGTTGGAGAGATTGGGGAGGAGGCGCAGGAGGGGGTGGAAGATGAGGAGGAGGAAGAGGAGGAAGAAGAGGAAGAGGAGGAAGATACTTTGTCGGATATAGAGGATCACGAGGTAACGTTTCATTGGTCACTTCACCAGAAGCCAGTTTGCAGTAGCAGAAGCAAGCGGTGGTGAGGTGGATCATCCAGTGGAGGAGAAGCATTTCTTTGGCGCCTCAAAACCGTGTGAACTGAGACGTTTTTTGACGCGCCTCAAAACGTGTGAACTGCGACGATTTTTTAGGCGCCTCAAACGTGTGAACTGAGACGATTTTGAGGCGCCTCAAAACCGTGTGAACTGAGACGATTTTTGAGGCGCCTCAAACCGTGTGAACTGAGACGATTTTTGAGGCGCCTCAAAACCGTGTGAACTGAGACGATTTTTGAGGCGCCTCAAAACCGTGTGAACTGAGACGATTTTTGAGGCGCCTCAAAACCGCGTGAACTGAGACGATTTTTGAGGCGCCTCAAAACCGCGTGAACTGAGACGATTTTTGAGGCGCCTCAAAACCGCGTGAACTGAGACGATTTTTGAGGCGCCTCAAAACCGCGTGAACTGAGACGATTTTTGAGGCGCCTCAAAACCGCATGAACTGAGACGATTTTTGAGGCGCCTCAAAACCGCGTGAACTGAGACGATTTTTGAGGCGCCTCAAAACCGCGTGAACTGAGACGATTTTTGAGGCGCCTCAAAACCGTGTGAACTGAGACGATTTTTGAGGCGCCTCAAAACCGCGCGAACTGAGACGATTTTTGAGGCGCCTCAAAAACGCGTGAACTGAGAACGATTTTTGAGGCGCCTCAAAACCGCGTGAACTGAGACGATTTTTGAGGCGCCTCAAAAACCGCGTGAACTGAGACGATTATTTGAGGCGCCTCAAAACCGCGTGAACTGAGACGATTTTTGAGGCGCCTCAAAACCGTGTGAACTGAGACGATTTTTGAGGCGCCTCAAAACCGTGTGAACTGAGACGATTTTTGAGGCGCCTCAAAACCGCGTGAACTGAGACGATTTTTGAGGCGCCTCAAAACCAGCGTGAACTGAGACGATTTTTGGAGGCGCCTCAAAACCGCGTGAACTGAGACGATTTTTGAGGCGCCTCAAAACCGTGTGAACTGAGACGATTTTTGAGGCGCCTCAAAACCGCGTGAACTGAGACGATTTTTGAGGCGCCTCAAAACCGCGTGAACTGAGACGATTTTTGAGGCGCCTCAAAACCGCGTGAACTGAGACGATTTTTGAGGGCGCCTCAAAACCGCGTGAACTGAGACGATTTTTGAGGCGCCTCAAAACCGCGTGAACTGAGACGATTTTTGAGGCGCCTCAAAACCGTGTGAACTAGAGACGATTTTTGAGGCGCCTCAAAACCGTGTGAACTGAGACGATTTTTTAGGCGCCTCAAAACCGCGTGAACTGAGACGATTTTTGAGGCGCCTCGAAACCGCCGTGAACTGAGACGATTTTTGAGGCGCCTCAAAACCGCGTGAACTGAGACGATTTTTGAGGCGCCTCAAGCGGTGGGTGAGGAGGATCATCCAGTGGAGGAGAAGCATTCTCCTCCACGTTGAGAAGCATCACGTTGTTTTGGTTAGGAATCTCCCCCTTCCACTCCACACCCTCCCTCCCTGTCTTGAGCGCTGTTAGTTATCCCATTGCCGCTTCACAGCGATTGCCTTCTGGGGGAGATGGAGAAGAGATGCACTCCACAGCCCACCCTCCACCCAACAGCAGCGGAAGCAGCAGTGGAGCAGGCGTTTATTCCATCCTTCAATCTACAGACCTAACATCCTCTTGCTGCGTCTTCCCCTTCCCCTTGGGTTTCTGGTTCCTCCCCCCAATGCAGGTCGACGGTACCTACTAGGAGAGGAAGAAGTAAAGCTAAAGACCCTGATATGGACCGAGATGAACAAGGAGTATTTAGAAGAGTTGGAGCAGAAGCAGGCGGCGCAGCGCAGCGGGCAGCAGAGGACCAGGTGGCGGCGGTGGCGGCCGCAGCTGGTGCAGTGGCAGTGGGGGCAACAGTATTTTATTCCAGCCTTCAACCAGCAACCTATTTCTCTTGCTGCGTCTCCCCCCTCCCTTGGTTTTCTGGTTTCTTTCCTCAATGCAGGTGGGATGGATACCTGTTGGGGGAAGAGGAGGTGAAGCTAAAAACCCTAATTTGGACGGAGATGAACAAGGAGTATTTGGAGGAGTTGGAGCAGAAGCAGGCGGCGCAGCGGGCGGCAGAGGACCAGGTGGCGGCGGTGGCTGCGGCAGCGGCAGCAGCAGCAAGTAAATGTGGCGCCGGGACCTCTGCTCGTGCTGCTGCCGCCGGCTGCAGCTGCTGCTGCAGTGCTGCAAAAGGTGTGTCCTTGATGTGGTTTCCATGCTGATGTGGTTTCCATGCTGATGTGGTTTCCATGCTGATGTGGTTTCCATGCTGATGTGGTTTCCATGCTGATGTGGTTTCCATGCTGATGTGGTTTCCATGCTGATGTGGTTTCCATGCTGATGTGGAACCATGCTGATGTGGAACCATGCTGATGTGGTTTCCATGCTGATGGTGGTTTCCATGCTGATGTGGTTTCCATGCTGATGTGGTTTCCATGCTGATGTGGAACCATGCTGATGTGGTTTCCATGCTGATGTGGTTTCCATGCTGATGTGGAACCATGCTGATGTGGTTTCCATGCTGATGTGGTTTCCATGCTGATGTGGTTTCCATGCTGATGTGGTTTCCATGCTGATGTGGTTTCCATGCTGATGTGGTTTCCATGCTGATGTGGTTTCCATGCTGATGTGGTTTCCATGCTGATGTGGAACCATGCTGATGTGGAACCATGCTGATGTGGTTTCCATGCTGATGTGGTTTCCATGCATGTCTGATGTGGTTTCCATGCTGATGTGGTTTCCATGCTGATGTGGTTTCCATGCTGATGTGGACCATGCTGATGTGGTTTACCATGCTGATGTGGTTTCCATGCTGATGTGGTGAACCATGCTGATGTGGTTTCCATGCTGATGTGGTTTCCATGCTGATGTGGTTTCCATGCTGATGTGGTTTCCATGCTGATGTGGTTTCCATGCTGATGTGGTTTCCATGCTGATGTGGTTTCCATGCTGTGTGGTTTCCATGCTGATGTGGTTTCCATGCTGATGTGGTTTCTCATGCTGATGTGGTTCCATGCTGATGTGGTTCCTGCTGATGTGGTTGTCCATGCTGATGTGGTTTCCATGCTGATGTGGTTTCCATGCTGATGTGGTTTCCATGCTGATGTGGTTTCCATGCTGATGTGGTTTCCATGCTGATGTGGTTTCCATGCTGATGTGGTTTCCATGCTGATGTGGTTTCCATGCGGATGTGGTTGGTTCCCGAGTGGTTCTGATGTGGTTTCCATGCTGATGTGGTTTCCATGCTGATGTGGTTTCCATGCTGATGTGGTTTCCATGCTGATGTGGTTTCCATGCTGATGTGGTTTCCATGCTGATGTGGTTTCCATGCTGATGTGGTTTTCCATGCTGATGTGGTTTCCATGCTGATGTGGTTTCCATGCTGATGTGGTTTCCATGCTGATGTGGTTTCCATGCTGATGTGGTTTCCATGCTGATGTGGAACCATGCTGATGTGGTTTCCATGCTGATGTGGTTTCCATGCTGATGTGGTTTCCATGCTGATGTGGTTCCATGCTGATGTGGAACCACATGCTGATGTGGTTTCCATGCTGATGTGGAACCATGCTGATGTGGTTTCCATGCTGATGTGGAACCATGCTGATGTGGTTTCCATGCTGATGTGGTTTCCATGCTGATGTGGTTTCCATGCTGATGTGGTTTCCATGCTGATGTGGTTTCCATGCTGATGTGGAACCATGCTGATGTGGAACCATGCTGATGTGGAACCATGCTGGTTTCTGTGCTGTATTGGTTTGGTGCGACTTTGAGAATTCTCAAATGTGGTTTCCATGCTGATGTGGAACCGTTTGTATCTGTGCAAATCTCAGTGTCAGATACATGGTATAATCTGCTGTCGTTTGCATCCGTGAGATTCTCAATGTGTCATATTGATGTAAGTTACAACCGTTCGCATTCGTGCGAAACCACCTGGACTTGGTCTCATCGTTCACACCAATGTGCAGGGCGGGCTCGACCGCAAGCGAGGCGCAAGGAGAGGCAGCACTGGGTCCTGCCCAGTTCAGCAGCAGAAGCTGCCAAGAGGGTTCTCGACAAGAAGGTGGGGCTTTCTTTTGCTGCCACACTGTGTCCTCTAGCGCTCGCTCCTCCTCCTCCTCCTCCTCCTCCTCCTCCTCCTCCTCCTCCTCCTCCTCCTCCTCCTCCTCCTCCTCCTCCTCCTCCTCCTCCTCCTCCTCCTCCTCCTCCTCCTCCTCTCCTCCTCCTCCTCTCCGATAGTGCTGCTGCTGCTTCGATCTCCCCATCTCACCCATTAATCCCTTCCACTCGCCTCCACTCTATCTTTCTTCATTCCCACTCCTTTCCACCGTGCAGAGCTCAGCGCACGTCAACATGGAGGCTCTCGGACAGCTATTCTCAGATGGTGGCGGCGCCGCTGCAACTGCTACTGCTGCTGTTGCTGCTGCTGGGGCTGGAGCTGGGGCTGATGCTGCAGCTGGGCAGGGCCGGCCAAAGAAACAGCAGCACGTGCGGTGGGCTGATCAGGCTGCTGCCGCTGTTGCTGATGGTGCTACTAGTGGTGTTGGTGTTGGTAGTGCTGCTGCTGATGAAGCAGTGACAGCAGGGGCAGAGGAAGGGCCGCTCGCAGGGGGGTATGGTGGAGCAGAAGCAGGCTTGGGTGGGGACGAGGCGTGGGGGGAGATGGCGCGCTGGGTGGGTATGGTGATGAGTCAACTACGTACGATGCTGAGTCAGCAGGGCATGGGGAAGGAGACATGGGAGTGGGCCATGATGAGGATTTGGAGCATAGGGGAGTGGATGGGAGGAGGGTGATATGGATGGTGCTGCTGGGTTGCATAATGGGGAAGGTGCAGGTGATGGTGGTGGTGGTGAGGATGGTGAGGAGGAGGAGGAGGCAGCAGAGGCACATGCAGCTGATGGGGAAGAAACGGAATACCATGATGTGAATGGGGTGCAGTACCATGTGGAAACGGGTGAGGAGCACTATAACGAGGATGGGGCAGGAGAGGCGGTATGGGGAGGTGGGGGAGCGGATCAGCTGTACGGTGCAGATGGCATTGACCCCGATGACCAATACATGTTTTACTGAACATGACCTGTTTTTTTTAGAAAGCTCACATACTGTATTCTCCTGGACATAACACCCGGGGGTATTTTTGATAACCACAGGGAAAAAAAAGGGGGGGGGGGGGGGGGGGTGGGGGGGGGGGGGGGGGGGGGGGGGGG